ATAGTTCGGCAAATGTGTTAGGTATACCGAAAAGCAAAAGAAAGGATCAATGTGCGTTGTTATACTCATTAATATAGGCGAAACACAAAACTTCAACGCCAGAACCATAGGAACTCTGGAACAGGACCGCATATTGCGGCGTATAAATCCGAATTCCTACCGGCTTTACATATTGTTTGTCCGACCTTTGAATATCTTTTCATATTATGCGAGCGGGTGGTCTTTAATTATCTAATCTCAATTAAATATAATCTGCTAATTTAAAAATCAGTCAAATATACGGTATATTGAAAAAAGAGTTTTTTTATAATACCGTAAAATTTGACCAATTTTAAAAGAGACAGATTGGGTTCAATTGATAATATATTTTTTGAGTCCATACACTCGGATAATATTAAAAGATATTTAGATGAAGCAGAAACGTATTTAAAAACCGTTACACGATCGAAAATATACGCCGCAATCTGCGGTCCCGTTCTCGAGTTCCTATGGCCAGAACAGTAGCCAGTTCGTTTTTCTCACAAATAATCTGGAATATAAGTTATGAGGGTCCTTACAGCCGTTTGCGCTAATTTATTTCGATTAATCTTAAAAATATTGTTTGTCCGACCTTTGAATATCTTTTAATATTATCCTTTAACAAAGGAGCCGGTAGGTAAATGATTATACAGTACACTCAAATCATGCACCTGTCTCATTTGCACTGAAAACATATACCGTAACATGTTGCACAGATATCCCGGACCGCATTTTCTATAGATGGAATCCGGATTATAAGCAATTATTTTTACATGATATAACACAAAATGTAGAACAGTTATGCTATGATTTGAATACATGTATAGATTATCGTTCTGATACAGAAAAGCTGGTTGACATTTTTACTCAGTTTTTGACAAATAATGGAAATAAATATTCTGAGACACGACGTAAAAACCTAACACATGCATGCTTTACCAAATCAAATTCAAATAAAGAATGGTTCAATGAAGAATGTAAAGATAAAAAGCGGCAATATATTAACGCAATGTCTCAGTTCAATCTTAACAAATCAGCTGAAAGTAAAAATGATTTATACGCTAAATGATTTGATTATAAGTATTGTTGCAGGGCTGCAAAGAAAAAATATAATAGATCGCTTGCATTAAAAAAATAGATGAAATGAAAAATAAAAAAACCGAAAGAATTTTAGAAATTATTTAAGAAAAATAAAGAAAAAGAAAATGAAGACAATATTAACATATCCGAATTTTTTAATCATTTCAAAAATTTAAGTTCAGATTTTGTTTTTGAAGAAGTAGTGAATGTGTGGATTTTTTGAATGATTTTGCTAATAACATGTTCTCTGAATCAAGCTCTATGTTTCAAGAACTCGATGCACCTTTCTCTTTAGAAGAAATTAGAAAAAGCAATAAAATTATTGTGTACAAACAAATCATGTCCACTAGATAATGTTATATATGAATATTTTAAAGAGGGTATAGACAAACTCGATAAACCGTTAAATATTTTATTCAGTTACATACTAGAAAAACAGTGTTTTCCTAGGTCATGGACAAAGGGTATAATAATACCACTATACAAAAAGGGAGATCATAATGATACAAATAATTACAGAGGTATAACTTTAATAAGCTGTTTGCCAAATTGTTTACCGTAGTATTAAATGAAAGATTGAAAAGCTGGGCAAAACAAAATGATGTTATCTCTGATGCTCAATTTGGGTTTAAACAAAATTATATTACAGTTGATGCTATATTTATATTAAATGCTTTGATTGAAAAACAGATTAAGCAAAATACAAACTATTTTGCTGTTTCATAGATCGTATGAAATGTTTTTATACTATTTATAGTAATGGGCTTTGGGCAAAACTTATAAAGATTGGTGTTAATGGAAAACAATTTAAGATTATTCGTCCATTATACGAAGATATCAAATTGTGTGCTAATGTATAAGGACCCTAATGGGCACTATAAGGAACTAAAAAATTGACTTCATAGGTCAGATGTATACCTTAAAGTACACCTGTATGCAAAATTTAAACAAAGTTTACCGTACGGAAATCAAGTTATGGACACTTTTCTGAACTCAAGCTAGGATGTTATGAGGGCCCTTTTTTTAGAAATGAGGAACCTTTAAATAATCTGCAATAACTTTCTAATGAAAAATGTTTTCCCATTAATTTTTGGTAAGAAACAAAATGTACCATTCAGCTAACAATCCACATAAGCAAAATTATGGTTTCTACTTAAAATTTATGAAATCTGTATAAAAATGTTACCCTACCCCACCCATTTTTACCACGTGTCTGACCATTTTTCTACTTAGGGAGCCTAATTTAAAAAAATCTTAAAATTTACCCAAATGAGTGCCTGTTTTCGAAGTTTCCCTAAATTTTTAAAAAAGCATATTGGTTGATCTTGTGAAATATGAAATACTTTTACCGTCTAGTTTTGATTATATTACACTTGGAAAATATCAGGTACCATATTTATTACTAGATTTAGCATAATTTAGCCAATAAATACCTATATAAATTTAAAAAAAATCAAAATTAAACACTTTTTTCTTTCCAAATGGGACATTAGAGATACATAAATAATGTTAAAAGAAAAAAAGAAAGAAAGAAAAGTTGACCCTTCTGGTGATTGAACCCATGGCCCTCATTTTCAATGTAGTTAACAGTAGTTCTAGCCTATTTGAATACTCTTCAACGCGGAGGTAATGCATTAGGGTGCTAATACCTTAAACATATGAATAATCTTTCAAATTTTTTCAACTGTGATATTGGACTATTACAAGGGGAAATAACTTCTCCATTGCTCTTTTCTTTATTTATGAATGATGTTGAAATGTACTTACAGAAAGATCAAACAGCATGTATTACTTTGGATCAAATTTCCATATATTTGTTATTATTTGCAGATGATGCTGTTATATTTTCTGAAACTGCAGAAGGTTTACAACGATCATTAGACAATTTTGAAAAGTATTGTACAAAATGGAAACTCAAAGTAAATATAGAAAAAAACAAAAGTAATGATTATTAAAAAGGTGGTAGAAATAGCAACTTTGTCAATTTTACATACGGTGGTCAGAATATAAAAATTGTAAATAGTTTTAACTATCTTAGAATTGTTTTATCAAGTGGCGGTTCATATATGAATGCAACGAAAACGTTGGCCGGAAAAGGTCTCCGGGCAATGAGTTCATTATTATCTATAACAAAGCAGTTAAAAGTACCTGTTAGATTAATACTTGCACTATTTGATTCATTTGTTGCCTTTATACTTAACTATTCATGTGAAGTTTGGGGATTTCTTAAAGCTGAAAATCTTGAAAGGGTTCATAAAAAATTTCTAAAATGGATTCTAAATGTAAAAATGTCAACATGTACTTCCGCTTCGTATGGTGAATTTGGACGATACCCTCTGTATAAAGTTAGACATGTAAGAATTGTAAAATACTTTCTCAGAATTTATGATGAGAAACGCAATAATTGTATTTCGAACACTGTGTTAGATGACCTTAGAAAAGATTTGGAAAAAAATAATGGTGTTAAAAATTGGGCTTCGAATGTTTGTTCTATACTACAAAGTGCTGGTTTTAATGATGTCTGGTTATTTCCAGAATCGGTAGACGTTAAAGTTTTTATTCCAATTTTAAGATTACGGCTTTTAGATATATTTACAACTAAATGGAGACAAGATGTTGATCATCACTATCCCTGTATAAAGAAGTAAAATCTGTTTTTCAATTATCATCTTATTTAGAAATGTTACGTTGTGTAAAACATAGAAATATTATTGCTTAATTACTTTTATCATCACACCAATTAAATATAGCGACTGGAAGGCATAGCCATGTTGAAAGGGCTGAAAGGAAATGTAACTTATGTATAACAAATGATGTAGAAGACGAATTCCATTTTGTTATGAAATGTCCTGTATATAGATTATTAAGAATACAGTATATTCCCAAATATTAGTATACGCGCCCAAGAATGGCTAAATTTATAGAACTTTTAAAATGTGGTAGCTCTGTAAAATTAAGTAGACTTGCAATTTTCTGTATTAAAGCTTTTAAGCAAAGGCAGAATAACCTTAATTATTTGTATTAGTAAACGTACATTTTATTGCAAATATCTATAGTATATAAGAATATGTTAAAGTAAATGATTATACACCTAAATATGTATGCTGATATTCTCTGCTTTTGGAACTGAATTTGTACACATGTACATGATATGTAAAGTAAATAATTGATAATATTATATTCACTCTCGCTATATTACATGCATGTACTTGTATATATGAATGACGATGAACCGATGTGTTCAAGTCAATTTTGTTGAATAAACTTTTGTTCTGTTCTGTTCTGTGAAAGTCCCTCCCTCCATGGTTACATTGAATGAAAACTAACAGAATAATTTCAAACCGTGACATCAGTGACATTTTGACCGTTGCCGAGCTTTTCCTTTTAATTGTGACAACCCCTACATAGGTCAATCGCAATACAAAAAACTATGGTTTTAAACATCTCAATATGTTATATATAATGTCAATCTACAAACTAGTAATTATAGCAACTTCTATACAATAAATTGTGTAAACCTCTTCGCATGACTTCAGAGGTTGCACTTCGGTCATACTTTTTTAAACCTAAATTGAGCCCAAATACGAGCTGCAATATCACTGTTTAACCATAATATCATAAGGAAGTTTTCATTTGATTAAAATGTTAACTGCTTTTTGAATTCGATCCAACTTTCTCGAAACATTAAAATAGATGTATGATAGAGATGATTAATCATGAATAGGATTGAGGCGTCTGGCCTACCAATGCTGATGTGATCGTAATTTATAAACTTTAGCAAAAACTAATGTAAAAGCAAAAAAAGGAAGAAACTGCAAGCAGTGAATGCGACATCATCGTTGATTCGCAAATTTACATAAAACTTGAAGTCATGCATTAATCTTGCAAAATATAAGTTTAAATTATCCTAATTATCATAATTTTGTTTCGTTTTGGTCTATGAAGTTTTGCAACTGATATTATATAAAATCGTATATTAAGATATTACAGTCAAACAGAAAGGACAAGTAGGCGATCAAATTTGATTCGAAAATCTTCAGGTAAGTGAAATTTAACTATTCAAATATAACTTTGTTTGATAGCTAAATGACTTAAATATCATGATAATGATGATGACGATGATGATGCTGATGATGATAATGATAATGATGTCAATAATAATCACAATACAAATAAAGATAATAATATAATAAGTTAATTAAAAAGAAAGAAATAATAAAAACATCTTATCGCTAGTAACAAATAATCAAGGTTTCTTTTTGGCGACATGAAAATGATTGAAATCTTGGTCTTATATCCTTCAAGTACTTTTGGAGTTATGTTCTGGACAAATTTAAAGTTTACCTGATAAAGGGGTCAAACTCTAAAAGTAGGTAAGGTAGAGTTACTGTTATTGCACACTGTACTGATATGTCAGTGTAGTAAGTTAAAGGTAAATGCCTCAAGTTCTTTTTGAATCATGCTCTAGACAAAACTTTTAAAGTAATTATGATAAAGAGGAATAACACTATAAGAGCCGGATAGAGTTACTATTCTTGCACACTGTACTTTCTAAAAATGTACTCATTATATTTGATTGATTGATTGATTGATTGATTGATTGATTAATTGATCGATCGATTTTTTGTTGATATTTGTATGTGTGTCAAAAGCTTGCAAAACGAATGTTTATTTATTATTTACTTTTCGACATTAGATTTACTGAAACATAACATTATGAGAAATCCTTAAACTATATCTGAGAAAAAAAATCAAAGCTGAAGGTGAGATGTTTTTCAAAACTTTTTAGTTGCAGTTATTATATAATACCATTCCTGGATATTATGCAATGTTATTCCGTATTGAACGGATAAATCTGAAGGTATTTGTGTTTCATGCCGTAAATACAGTTATATATAGAATCTATACAATTATGGTGATACTGTAAGTTACATTTGGTAACTGATCTCAATACATTTTGACATTGGACAAAAAATCTAAAATTGAATCGTTCCATTTAGTTTTATTGTCTAAAATACAGAATGGTTAAACTGGGCATTGTACTGGCTTTGTGCGCGTCATTCATGACGTCAGCAGTTAGTGAAACTTGCAACGAGACGCCATCATGTTCCCTTTTTCCAAACCAAAACGGTGGTATTGTTTCTCTAGAAGATGTTACCAAGGTAAAATTTACATTCTTTGTCTAGAAATATTTATTTATTATGGTGGCTGATTTGGTACGCTTTTGTGCCTCGCTTTGGCGCTAGCAACAACACGAAAAAGAGCCAAACGGCGCGCTGTCGTCTTGTCGTCCTGTCTCTAGCGCGACATGCCAAACAGCGCGTTGTTGTCCTGCGGCATGTTCTCGAGATGTCACCTTGTCGCTCGGTTCAAATTGAAGGAATGGCTTATAAGCCAAGCGACAGGGCGACATCGCGCCGTACGACAACGCGCCGTTCAGCGTGTTGTCGTGTTGTTGCTAGAAGACGAAAGTCCGACAACTCGCCGTTTGGCGCTTTGTCGTGTTGTTGCTAGTGCCAACTTGACGCACAAAAGCGTACCAAATCAGCCACCATAGTTTTTGTCACTGCAGAAATCAACTGAAATTCTGCAACTGGGTACATGAGGAGGAGTTTGAGAAAACTACCGACTCATGCTTTTATGGTGGCTGATTAGTTACACTTTTGCGAGTCGACAACACGACAAAGCGCAGAACGGCATGTTTTCGCCTTGTCATCTTGTCGTCCTGTCGCTGGCGAAATACTCTAAAAGGTGCGTTGACTCGCAGCATGTGGCGCGATGACACATTGTCGCTTGACTACGGTGGCTCATTTGGCACACTTTGCTCGTTGCGTGGTCAATAGCGACAACACAACCTATATCGTAATTGCCTTTTCGTCAGGTTATCTTGTCGCTAGCGAAACGCCAAACGGCGCGTTACCGAACTGTCGTCTTGTCGTCCTTGTCGCCAAACGGCGTGTTTTCGTGCAGCGCGTTGTCGCGCTGTCGCTTGGCTTATAGATAGATACAAATAGTCAATCCTTCGATTTCAGCCGAGTGACAATGTGAAATCGCGACAACACACCGCACGTCAACGCGCCGTTTGGCGTGCATCGTTAGCATCAGATCGACAAGATGACAGTGTAATAACGTGCCGTTTGGCACTTTGTCATGGCTCCAATCAAAGGATTTGCTATTTGTATATTCAAGCAAAGCGCGACGCGACAACGCGCATCACGACAAAGCAAGCCTTGGTGAATACATAAAATTTTACGTTCTGTAGATTTGATATTAAATAATGATTTATAGTTGTAGCAATAGTAACATTTGCTGGTGACAGGCAATACTATGTTGTCGTCTGACTTTAATGTATTCAGTTATTGTATCAACTTGCACGGAGCAATCCCCTTCAAATAGCATTTCGAAGAGCAAAGCCACTTTCATAAAACAATGACCTGTGAACGATGAATTGATGAACTACATGTTTAATTAATGGTTAAATACTGAAATAGCATCATAGGTCGGACATGTTGGCGGTGAGAAATGTAGAATGCAGGAAAACAGGTACGCGAATTGTTAGGTAACCATGTAGACAAGCAGAAATGCATGTAGGTTATTAAACAGGAAAACATGTAGATAGACCTGCAGGTTGGCAAACACTTCAATAATATAATATCCTGAAATATCAAACTATTATCTAATTATTTTCATCATACAGAAAGTGCAGGGGAAGCACTGGATATTGATTTATCTCTCACAGATTTCATCATCACCGCGGACCTATGGTAAAGGTAACTTCAGATGGAATACTCCCGATTCTGACCAGAATATTAGGATGGAAATAATGTGCTAGTAAGTGTCAAAAACAGGTTTGTATTTACCCTTACCCTCTAGATACATTAAATGGACTTGTCCACCTGTCAATATAGAAAAAAATAATTTCAGATGACACTGATGTTCCGGCTGGTCTTAGGTTAAAATCTTACTGTTACTTAATATTGGTGCCTAAGGGGAGTTTCGGCTATAATCCCCGACCGAATTATAATTATGACCAAGCCTCGTGTTGAACCTATGATCATGACTTAAATTATCCAAAATAGTATGCAGGAGGTATCCAGTTCGTTCCAAGGACGCATCGGGTTCACGACCATACAAACATTTTATATTGGTAGCTTTTCATAATATATAGAGGGTAGATTTATTTGTGCACGTTTCATCAGATAATCATTAAAGTTAATTGAAATCTTTATATAGGTAGATCTATACGTCTACTTTAAATTTATGAATAAATTATAAGTTTCTCCAACTGTAGAAATTTTGTTTTATTATAAATGTGTTTTGAAATATTTTGAAAAGTCATTTAGCATAACCGTTTATGGTGGGCTGTAAAACCTGTCAAAATATTTATAGCTGATGATATACGTATGGTTGAATAAAAATCAGTAATTTGCCTTTCATTTCTGTTGCTTTAAAATAGAGAAAATAAGAATCCCTAAAGAAAGCCCAACACGGCAAAATTGAAAATGTTTCAGGCTCGGTTTGATTGAGCCTTTTCATGGACGGTACTGTAAAGTGCCAACTACCGTCCACGCCCCCTAGCACCGGCTTAAGCAGAATTCAACATTTAACATGAACTAGTGAAATTTAGAATTTTGAAACATCCGCAGATGTGTTCAGATGTGTTAAACTTTCCCGCGTCAAAGTAAAATAAGTGAAAATAACAACAACAATAACAACGGGGAAATTGCTGACTGTAGATCTTCAGGAATTTTTTGGCATATATTATAGCCGATATTCGGTCATAATTATTTCCAGTTGAAAAAAGTATATTAAGAAAGAAATCCCGATTGAAAGTTGCAAAAGAAATATTGAAAAAAAAATCTTTGAAAATAAGGGTTTCTTCACTGTTATAGGTGTTAAAGGGCTAAAATGTCTGACGATGCCATCCTAGACAGTGATTGTTTGCATTCATTTAAACAAGATGCCATCCTAGACAGTGATTGTTTGCATTCATTTAAACAAGATGCCACTCTACACAGTGATTGTTTGCATTCATTCAACAACTGCAACATTTCAGTCATGTATTTTCCCCAAAACATCGCTGAAATTCCCAATTCCATAAGTATGTGTGATGCCCCCAACATACTGGGGAACAAATCCTGTACGCATACTATTTTAATTATATTTCCAATCATCTTTCAGCAATTTCGTCTTAAAAGAATGTGGAAATTACGAAAGGATGATCACACGGAAAATACCTGACTGTAATCGTGCGGAGGAGAACGGTAGTACAAAGATTAGATAAAACATTATGAATTAAAGGAGTCATATATTTATAAAAGTGATATTTATAATCTGTCCACTCTATAAAACTGAAGTGGTGGGGTTTTGTCCACTCTGTAAAATTTAGTAGTGGGGTTTTGTCCACTCTATAAAATTAAGTGGTGGGGTTTTGTCCACTCTATAAAATTTAAGGTGGTGGGGTTTTAACTGGTGGGGTTTTGTCCGTAAATACATGCAGTTAAAGTGTGACGTGTCATGTTTTTACAGGTATAAGTAGACCGATGGTTGCGAAGTTTTACAGGCATGATTTGGACAAGTATTTTTGCGAGTACGACAATGACAATAAATGTAAGACTGGATTAACAGATCTTCCCGTCAGCAAATCTAGATACCCCGGTACGTAGATAATTTAACCATTTACCTGCTGACTTTGTGTAATGGATTTGTCCTGCATTGAATCTGGAACAGTCCAGTCAAAGTTAAAGGAATTTCAGTATATAATTACAAAAATATAGCAACAAACAGTAGAACCTATATAAAGGCGGCAAAGGCTTTTCACTTTTTTGCTCCAGCAGGTTAAATGTTAGGTATAATTAGCATAATAACGTGATTCCTTTGATTTTGTCAACAGGGTATGCTTAATTCCTACCTAAAAGTTGCATTTTATGTAGTTCTATTTGTTGTTTTCTCGTATATTAAAAGCACAATTATTCGATTTTGAGATTCTTTACCCCTTGTCATTTAATGGCTCGATAGTATAAAAATTCTTTAACAACTATACTTCCATCCATGAACAGGCACAATAAAACCGAGCCTGCAAATGAATTCATTTGATATATAGTTTATTTATATTTCGCAATGTTAAATGGCTGTTTCTTTACATGACTGATCAATATAAGCTTTGTCATAGAGTAGTCCGCAACAGCGTATTCAACGGACACATAACCAACCGGGCATTTTTTGTTTGGTTTAATGACGCACCAACACAGTATAGGTCCAATGGCGTTTTTCTGGCTTTACTGGTTTAGGAAGACCTCAGGTGCCCATCTGTACATTATTTCAGGCACAAACGGGCACCTGGGTAGAGCCACCGACGTTCCGAAAGAAGGTGGATAGATTTTCACTTGAAGAATCCGAAGATGCTGGCAAAAGGCAAGTGGTATAAAGTCACGACCTTAACCACTTTGCAACGGACTCCCATTCTTGTCTTGTAATTGTCAGATCTGCGTCTGATCTGTGTCTCGTCGTTGTCTGGACGTTGTCTGGTCTGTAGCTTGTCATGTCTTGCCGTTGCGTGGTCTTCGTTGTTTGGTCTGTGTCTTGTGTAAGTTTGTCTTGTCGTTGTCTGGTCTTTGTCTGGTCATTGTCTGGTCTGTGTCTTTCTCTAGTTTGTGTCTTGTTTTTGTCTGGTCTGTGTCTTGTCTTTATCTAGTTCGTGTTGTCTGGTCTGTGTCTGACTTATCTGTGTCTTGTTTTTGTCTAGTCTGTTTCTGATCGTTATCTGGTCTGTGTCTTGTGGTTGTCTTGTCTGTGTCTTGTGGTTGTCTGGTCTTTTTTATCATGGTCTGTCATTTTCCGGTCTGTGTCTGATCTGCGTATCAAATTGTTTAGCTATTTGCAGGATTTAAATACCAAATTCATATTAATTGTCAAGCATTTATATCTATAATAATAATTATGTGTTGATATTCATTGACAGATTCTTATGATAGTGAACTTGACCTTCAAGGACTTCCCAGACATCCTATAGTCTCCGACCTGAAATATCATTTCAACATGGACATGTCTGATGACAAAATGATGTTTGCAAGGGAAGGACTAGGTAAGGGATCTTCTGTTATGCAGTTTAGTATTGTAAAGGCAATGAACACACTTTCCAAAATAGCAATAGAAATATTGTTTTTGTTATGCTATTATTTGTTGCGGGGAAAATATTTCATCTATGTATGAGGGGTGTTTTAAAAATATTTTGTTCACCATTTATATACATGTATGTATAATGGTTATATTTACTTGGATTTTTAGAATGTGGATTTGGTGGCAAAGTTATTGTGACAAACGGCAAGAACCATGACAAACAGAACTTTGTTGTTTTTATTGTTAGTTTTTTCTTGTACTCGCTTTTATTTTAGATATTTGATACATTTTACATTTTAATCACTGAGCATATACTAGTATACTGTTTACATTATAAATAGCCAAATGCAATGTACACACTGTCGGAGGTTGGACCCTCAAGATCTGGCTTTTGTTTTCATACTTTTCTTGCTTGATGCTTTTATTGTTAAATTTATCAGTTCATGATTATTTTGTTTCCTTTAAAAGAATGATTTTTTTTTACATTAAAGCAGAAAAGGAAATTGTAAATATGTGAGTCATATATTAAATGTCAAAGGTAAATCTCTTGAACTAAAAAACAAAAACAACAACAACAAAACAAACCAGCAAAAAACAAAAACAATTGATGTTTTAACTACATGTATACAAAAGTGTTGTAAGAAACATTCCTTTGACTGTTAATTGTTAATTGTATTTATCATTGTGTTGACCTGTCCTTTTTCTTAAAGCCACATTATGCCTCGAAATTATATTTTTTTCTTAGTTATGATAGGGTAAACATGAATCTTTTAACGTTTGAGTAATACTTTTTAAGTATGTTAGATTTTGAGTACGTGAAGAAAGTAGCGCCGAGTTAAAATTATTTTCATAAAAGTAGCAAAATGTAAACAAAATACAATGTAGTATTTGACTTCCATACAGAAAACTAATTCACGATAACTGTACTAATTGCCAAAACGAATCAGGAGCAAAAGATGGCTAAGATAATTGACCTATGTGTAGCTTTAACAGGACACCAACAATATAAAACTCTTGAGAAATGAAAATGAAACCATTTCTGAAGCATAATGGGCATTTAAGTATCATAACTATATCTTATCTCGCATTCAAAAAATATAATAAATTATGTATGCTTAACTGCGTTTTGTTATAATTTTACAGAATTTTTTGTAAAAAAAAGAAAGAAAAAGAAAAGTAAAACCTCGAAAAATAAACTTTATTATTCCACAAAATTCAGGTTTCGCTGTCGAGGAAGGACCTCCAAATTGCTATCGAGGAGGGACCCCCAAACATGTCACCAGTTATATATAGAGAGACCCCCAAATTGTTATCGAGGAGGGACCCCCACACATGTCACCAGTTATATATAGAGGGACCCCCAAATTGCTATCGAGGAGGGACCCCCAAACATGTCACCAGTTATATATGCAGTATATAAGGCTTTATTTTAAAGTTGTGATAATTTCCCTCCATATGCAATGTCCACGGGATATTAGCTGTGAGGCAAAAGTAGGTCACTGCTCGGCGGTGAAAAGAAAGTAGCCTTGATAATGTCTGTTGGTGCCAAACAAAGGACCAGCCTTACGGTCGTTACTCTCTGGAAATATGTCCGAAATAAGACCCCCAAAAAGAAGGAAAAGAAAGATCAGTTTTAACAAATAATGTTTATTTACCTTATTGTTTAAAGAGGGTAAATATTTAATTACAGACCCAGTAAAAAACATATATATTCATAACACGTGACCGTTCAATATAATTCCAATATTGGACTGTGTAGTAATCATTATAATCATTTATTGATTTTCCCATTAAGGTAAGCGCATATGATTTTTTCAATGTAACGTCTGTAACGTCAAGGACTATTTTAGACGTAAACAAAAACGTATTCAATTGAAGGCGATTTGAATGACGTTAATATCAGAATATAGATACGTGTATATTTATTTCGTCAGATTGTGTCAACTGTGTAAAACTTTTAATGATATGGTATTAATTTCGAGATTTCACTTACATAAAACTTTCAAATAGATTTTTTTTAATTTGATTATGCTTGAACTCGTAACTTGTATTTCGTTGACAAGCAAAAACGTAGGGGAGTACAATAGAAAAAAAGTTATAATTTTACGTTATTATACTACAGTGTAAAGTGTTTTTGTAATGTAAGAGCACTATTTAAAGTTGTGCGTATTTAATTCCCGTCTATCGGGATACCCTATATATAAAAACTATGTACTGGATGCTGATCATAGCTGCATGTGTAATGGTGTGGAACTTCTGTCGCCGTGTACATGACGTCATCAGCACACTGTCCAAGATGGCGGCTGATAAGAAACCGTCACAAGGGGTCGTTCCTTAAATAATAGTTTAGTAAAATTTATCTAAATTCGAACAGATAAGTGACATAAAGTCATAAAATTTTTAATGTAATACTTAATTAATATATTCTTGTAGGCCTAATTTGTATGCTTGATATACATGCTAAACTACCAAAGCATCTCCCGGGGATCGAACCCACGCCAGAGAGGTAACTGGATTAGAAGTCATGGACCATGGAGGCGGTCATCATTGTCAGCAATGGAAAAAGACTGTCTTATGCAGTATCTTAAGGCCAATTGACATAAATATTTGAAGTATGTTCTTAACTAACACTATAATAAACTGTGAGCATGCACTGACACTTTTTTATTTTAGGCTGTACTATATATGAACAAGTCTTGGACTATTTCAGTATTCAAATTTGAAATGCAAACTAAACAATTTTATTTTTACACTTTTTCCTAGGTATTTTGGGAAAAATTACCTAGCACAGTTTGGGAAATGTTGCATCTTGATTAGGAAAAATATTCGGTACCATGTCCAAAGTTGTTAATCCAACAAATTGTATCATTCAAAGCATAAGAAATACATTGTATTTTACAATGAAATGTGTTTTTGAACATCATCTGTCTGGTACCATATTGGATTGGAATGGAATGAAGCAAAAGTGTTAGCTTTGATAATGGGAATTTCGACTCGATTAAACTTTTTTTTTAAAGTTTGGCAAAAATAAGCATATTTGCCACTGGGAATGGGTCTGGTAATCTGGCCGGTGGTGACACTGGAAAAAAGGCATATGTTTTCATGAATAATTATTGGAGAACAGTTTGATTTGTGAAATATACATCAAATATTATACAAGAACCTGTAGTTTGTGATTATCACCGTAGAGCACGTGTTACAGTATGGCGTTTTACGGTTACAGTATAGAATTTTAAAGATGGACGATTATTTGTGGGAGGACAGGTAGGTGATTTTTATTTCGGTCCATACTACAAGTAGTTTAGTTTCTAAAAGATGTTTTTGTGTTTCGCTTGTAAGGAACAGAATCTGGTATCTATTCATTTATTACCTCGAGAAATAATGTCATATGCTAGCAAATAATATCCACTTACTAAAGTTAAAGCTGTAATATGAAAATTGGCGTTATGTCTTGAAAAGGAAGTGTATTATGCGCTGCTTAACTTAAGATACATATGGTATTGTATGCATGTAACTGACAGACAGAACAGATGAAGCACACGTGCATGAAAATAGAAAAATGAATTTCTTCATGTAAATTGCTCTATTTATAGTGCAATTTGATCGTACTGAATCATCACATTTTGTATTGTAACTGCGTGTTGCTAAAAAGCTTTTTCGATGCACATACCGCATTAATAACTTAACTTTTTTCAATGCACATACCGCATTAACTTGAGAAAATATTAGAAATAAAAGGTCGCAAAGAATAGATAAACTTATAAAAGATTGACCTTGATTTTCTGTCAGAATGTTAGCCCCTTTCATCGTATTTCTGCCATCGATGGTAGCATTTAAAATAAGTATCTGCATACAACGGCAGCATTTTTTCTTTGACCGGACCAGATTGAACGTCTGTAAAACTTTCAAGAAAAGACTCACGGGCGTGACCCCAATGGTTAACGTATATATTAATAACACGAAATCCTGCCATTTAGTTAAAAATTGAGATATTTTGAACAAAATACAAGAATTTTTCACGGATTTTTCCGAAGCTGTCACTTTTAACCTGCTCAAAATAGTCTAAAACAGGAAAAACGAGTCCAAAATTATCTAATAGTATCTCATCTCTTATAAGTATCTAATAGTTTCAGAAATACCATGAAAGTGGCTGACATTCTGACAGAAATCCAAGGTCAATCTTTTACCAATTTCTCCATTCTTCGCGTCCTTTTAGTGGGAATTGAGACGTTAAACTATCATTTCTAATATTTTCTCAAGAAAGAAAAGTTATTATTGCGGTATGTAGTATTGTTTGATTTTATTAACCTGTCAATTCCATACTCATTATACGGTCAATGCACAGAATATATTAATATTCGGTAAATTCCGTGAGAGGTACGCAGTAAGATGTGATTGAATTCATCTAGTTTGTATGAATTAGTTACACTGACCGTTATAGCGAAATAGGGTAAACCAAGGGTATAGAATATCAAAATGTCCTAGATGTTGTAAGATCGAACAGTGTATGTCCAGGATTTTTTTCTTATTCATAACTATTTTCAAAAATTTTGAAGTTATGGTTGTTCTGTTTTATTATGTTTTGCACTCGTTTGTATTTATTATAGTTTTGTATATAATTGATACTAAAAATTTATTTGGATTATATTAAATAAATGTAATTTCGGTGCCGTAAAATACAATACAAAATGTGACAATTCAGTGTTTCTTATTTGTTTCACATCCGTGTAGACAATTTTGCAAGCGCTTGACCATTTTCTTTAAAATATATTGTTTGATTTTATTAACCTGTCAATTCCATACTCATTATACGGTCAATGCACAGAATATATTAATATTCGATAAATGTTCGGTAAATTCCGTGAGAGGTACGCAGTAAGATGTAATTAAATTCATCTAGTTTCTATGGACTAGTTACACTGACCGTTATAGCGCAATAGGGTAAACCACGGATATATAATATCAAATGTTCTACATATGTTGTAAGATCGAGACAGTGTATGTCCACGGCTTTTTTCTTATTCATAAATATTTTCAAAATTTTCGAAGTTATTGTTGTTCTGTTTTTAATATGCTTTGTACTCTTTTGTCAATACTATATTTTTGTATATAATTGATACTGAAAATTCATCCGGATTATAATCAATAAATGTAATTTCAGTGCCGTAAAATACAATACAAAATGTGACAATTCAGTGTTTCTTAGTTGTTTCATTCCGTGTAGACAATTTTGCAAGCGCTTGACAATTTTCTTTAAAATATACCTAAAATAAAGAGAAAATAAGTCTAAAAAGAATGTCAAAAAAGGGATCGAACCTCGGACCTCTCATACATTAGGTAATTACTTAACCGACTGTGCTATTGCGGATGTTACGAGAACCTTCATTAAGTTAGTGGGAGTTTTCCAAACGTTAGTGATATACTCCATATTAATTCTCGTAAAATAAACGGACAAAACCGAAGTGGGATCGAATATTTAAATGAGTGCTATAATGTATTCATTATTGACAGGTCAATAAAATCAGACTATATGTACATCGAAAAAGCTGTTTAGCAACACGCGGTTACAATACAAAATGTAATGATTTAGTACGACCAAAAGGGTAGATATTTGGCTTGCATGACCCCAATGGATGAACGTCTATATCCATTACACGAAATCCTGCCATTTAGTTAAAACTTGAGATATTTTGAACAAAAAACAGACATTTTCACGGATTTTTCCGAATCTATCACTTTTACCCTGCTCAAAATAGTCTCAAAACAGGAAAAACGAGTCCAAAATTACCTAATAGTATTTCCAGTCAATGGACAATAGTTTCATAGCAATGGAATGGGCCGTATTTGTGTAATATAGTCTGATTTTATTGACCTGTCAAAAATGAATACATTATAGCACTCATTTTAATATTCGATCCCACTTCGGTTTTGTCCGTTTATTTTACGAGAATTAATATGGAGTATATCACTAACGTTTGGAAAACTCCCACTAACTTAATGAAGGTTCTTGTAGTATCCGCAATAGCACAGTCGGTTAAGTGATTCCGCAATAGCACAGTCGGTTAAGTGATTATCTAATGTATGAGAGGTCCGAGGTTCGATCCCTTCTTTTGACATTCTTTTTAGACTTATTCTCTCTTTATTTTAGGTATATTTTAAAGAAAATCGTCAAGCGCTTGCAAAATTGTCTATACGGAATGAAACAACTAAGAAACACTGAATTGTCACATTTTGTATTGTATTTTACGGCACTGAAATTACATTTATTGATTATAATCCGGATGAATTTTCAGTATCAATTATATACAAAAATATAGTATTTACAAAAGAGTACAAAGCATATTAAAAACAGAACAACCATAACTTCGAAAATTTTGAAAATATTTATGAATAAGAAAAAAAACCCTGGACATACACTGTCTCGATCTTACAACATATGTAGAACATTTGATATTATATATCCGTGGTTTACCCTATTGCGCTATAACGGTCAGTGTAACTAGTCCATAGAAACTAGATGAATTTAATTACATCTTACTGCGTACCTCTCACGGAATTTACCGAACAGTTATCGAATATTAATATATTCTGTGCATTGACCGTGTAATGAGTATGGAATTGACAGGTTAATAAAATCAAACAATATAATTATAATACCAACCAAATTTATAACCTACCTGTACCGAGCGGTAAATTTCAGCTATCTGCCATCACTGCAGTGATACGGTAATACGGTGTGTAACTGTCTCTCCACTACTATTTTGCTTTGATTGTCACTCAGGCCTATTTTTTTTTATGCGTTTATTTAAGGTCGCCGCCGGAAAGCCCATATGGGCGACCGTACACTCAAGTCGGGCCATCCTAGAGCGTCCCGCCGAGATTTTTTCGTCGATTTTTTTCCAGCTTTTATTGGTGGAGGAAGACCCCAGGTGCCCCTCCGGGCATTATTTCAGGCCTATTGGCCTTGAGCGTGATTATATACTCGAACCGTGCATTATTCTACCACAATGCACACAAAATTGTAATCTCTTTCCTAATAAGAAACTCACAATCATTTGCAGTTTGTCGTTTGACTAGTTTTGGTTCATTCGTTACCACACCGTTTTACCGGCGCCAATGATGGCAGTTACATTGAGTAAAATCTAACAGTTTGTGATTCCAAACCGTATGTGACGTCAGTGACATTTGTCTCGCAATAGTTAGACCGTTGCCGGGCTTTTCCTTTTAATTGTGACAACCTCTACAAAGATCAATCGATATACAAGAAACTATGGTAACATCTAATTAGGTTTATGTCAATCTACAAACAAGTAATTACAGCAACTTTTCACAAAAAATTGTGTTTACCTCTACGTATGACTTCACATGTTGCACTGACTGTGGTCATACTTTTTTCTTGAACCTAAAGTCCAAACACGAGCTGCAATATCACTGATTTGATAAAAATGTCAACTGCCTCTTGAAAATTTTGAATTTGATCCAAATTTCCCGAAATATTAAAGTAGATGTAAATACGAGATATTATTGATCATGAATAGGATTGAGGCGTCCTCCCTGGCAATGTTGACGTGATTTGCAAACTTTAGCAAAATTAATGTTAACGAAAAAGAAAAAAAAAAGAAAAGAAATTGCAAGCAGTGAAGACGACATCATCGTTGCTTGATGAATTTACATAACAACTTGAAATTATACATTCATCTTGCAAAACATAATTTTGATTTATCATAGATAACAAACATAGGTATCATAAACATGGGTTTTACCTCAATTTTGTTTCGTTTTGGTCTATGAATTCAATTTCAGTCTTAAGTTTTTGCAAGTGATATTATAATATGGTATTTAAGACCGAAAGGACATGTGGCCGATCAAATTTGCATCGAAAACAGCCAGGTAAGTGAAATTTAGTTATTCAAATATAACTTTGTTTGATAGCTAAATAACGTTAATGATGATGATGATAATCACAATAATAATAAAGATAATAATATAACAAATTAATAATAATAACAGACATAATAACAGGAAAATTATTTAAATCTTAGTCTTTGTACGTGTTTAAGGAAATCTGATAAAGGGGAATACCTCTTAAAGTAGGTAAGGTAGAGTTACTGTTCTTGCATATTGCGTTTTCTACAAATGATATGTCAGTGGAGTAAGACATAGGTAAATCCTTCAATTACTTTTGGAGTTAAGCTCTGGACAAAACTTTTAAAGAAAAATACCAAAAACCAGTCGGCTATGAACGAAGCCATCCGATTATGTTGGTTTCCAAACTTAAAAGCGCTGCGCATTTTGAACACGGCAAAGCTGGGGCTACGTTTGAATGTATCGAAAGATTTGGTAAATGGAGGAAAACGGCGATAATCTTGATGTTTATTTCGGCTGTTGCTTTGTTTATATTACCGTTGAAGTTTAAAATTGACCATCATCGTGAAGAATTACATCTTCTGTGTCGATGGACCAAAGGATTATGTGAAAATATTGGAAATGGAATAAAATACATGGTGATTATGACGGTAGAGGTGCGGATTTTTTCCGGCGAACATTTTGATCTTGTGTATTATTATAGATGTTGAAATATGATTTTTTTTTTTCAAAACAGCTTAAATTAAGTTTTTTTGATATATAGATCAGTACATGTGCTGGGATTGACAAAATGCATTTTATTTGGATTTTAAAGGCGTTTTGAGCTCCAAACCCCAAGTGTCTGTGATGTTCATGTTTCCACGTGTGTACTTTAGGCACCGTACAACTTGAACAATAGTTAAAGATGTGGACACCGCATTATTCGTCCTTAATTCACTGTAGTTTTTTCTGTTGCTTTTTTAGTAACGTCGATTATTCAACATATATACAGCTTACGCGATTTACTGTAATTAATAAAATGAAATACATGTACTAAGATTTTAAATTTGGCGTTGATTTGAGAAATACATGGACAAAGTAAAAAGCAGTAAGGCGAAATCAAGATAGATAAAATGATATTTCAAAAAACTATAATCTAATTATAGGCGCATTATGCATCAGAAATCAATATATTTATTTAATTCTTCAGAAATGTCAAACATTTGTTAAATAAAGTTTAGATAATGGATTAACAGCATTTTAGATGTTTTACAACTGAAGAATTAGCGCTGAACATGCAGTCATGTGTTGTAAAGGTAGCAAAATGTAAACAAAATAGTATTTTGACTTCCATACAAAATACTAATTAACTATAAATGTACCTATTGCAAAACATAATATCAAAGTCATAAAAGATAGTTTTTATATATGGCAAATGAGTATTTTTTGAAACTATAACAGGATACCAAAAATAAAAAATAAATGTTTTTGGAAAATAAAAAAATGATAGCATTTCTGAGGCATAATGGGCCTTTAAGCAATGTTACTCTCACTAACCAGATAGAAAAATCCTTAAATGTTACTAAAAATAGCGGTGTTGGAAAATCTTATCTCACATGGGCTTATCTCACACTCAACGTGCAGCAGTTCTAAATAATACGCGATTCACTCCTATTTTAACAAAAATTAAACGTCAAAAGGTCAAAATGTATTAAAAATTTGTAAGCTAATCTATTAAATTGTCTACGGAATCAAAATAGATTGATATTAACTTTCACACTGCAATGAGTCCTACTCTACCTAGATCCGCCCTTTCCAACGATCTGTTACTAAAAATAGCACACTTTAAAATATCGAAACGTTCTTCGTAAAATCGGATATTATGACCCTTGCCTGAAAAACATTCATGTTTTTTGTTATGATAACGATGACGATGCTTTTTGATGACGAATCTCATTTTGATATATTTTAATTGAATATTCGGCCAAAATAACCGAAAAAGTAGAAAAATCTTTGCAAACGGTAAACGTTTTTTTGTCAACCATTGAAGTATGGACTGAATTCCTTATAAACACTTATATTATGGCACTTTCCGTTTTTAATATCGATGTGTTTCATCATGATAACCTTGCTTTTTCATGAGGGGTCTCATATAAATTTATTTTCATTAAATTTTTCACACATAAACTTGGTCAGAAGATTTTTTGCTTTTTAATCATAGAAAGTCAGGCGCCTAAGCCCCGCCCCCTTTTCAAAACTAGGTACGTTGTAATGGGCGTAGCAAGTAGATTCACTGATATTTGTGTGTTCAGGTGAGTGAGAAAAATAATCAACCATTGGGTTAGATAGAGGATAGGGAAATCCCAACCCTCGGGCAATCGGTTCCATCGGGAACTCGCCAAGGCTCGTTCACGATGGAACCGATCACCCTCGGGTTGGGATTTCCCTATCCTCTATCTAACCCAATGATAGATTCTATTATTCCATATCGAGCTTGTGTGCAATGATGGTCGTATCTTTGCATGTGTTACATGACGTAAGTACAGTTTTATATAGAATCTTTACAAATATGATGAAAATAATACTGCAAGTTGCATTCAGAATTCAGAACATGTTAAATGATCTCAATGCATTCTGAAATTTGACAAAAAAAAACAAAAACAACAGAAATTGGAATCTAAAATAAAATTGTTCCATTTAGTTTTATTGTCTAAAATACAGAATGGTAAAACTGTGCATCGTACTGGTTTTGTGTGCGTCATACATGACGTCAGCAGTTAGTGAAACTTGCAACGAGACGCCATCATGTTCCCTTTTTCCAAACCAAGACCGTGGCGTTGTTTCTGTAGAAGATGTTACTCAGGTAAAACTTACATTCTTTGTTTAGAAATGTTTATAATATCACGATATTTTTTTGCCACTGTAGAAGTCACCTGTTTCCTACCGAAATTCTGTAAATGTGTACGTGAGGTGAGGTTTGAAAAAAAATCCGACCCATTGTTTTATGGTGGCTGATTTGTTACACTTGCGCGCCCTTTCTTTAATAGCGACAGCACGACAAAGCGCCAAAACGACACGTTATCGCCTTGTCATCTTGTCGTCCGGTCGCTGGCAACACACCAAAAGGTGCGTTGACTCGCATCGTGTGGCGCGATGACACATTGTCGCTTGACTCATATGGAAGAATTCGCCCATTGTCGCTTTGATGCTCGCGACAACGAGCCATGCGACAGCACGATGAGAAGCCAACCCTTCGATATATGACAAGCAACAGGACGACAAGGCAACAACGCGCCGCAGTTTGTCGAAGTACGTTGCGACAAGAAGAAAGAGCGATTTCGATATTTGTTGTGTTATCGCAAGCCACAACGCACCGTGTAAACATGTAACAAATCAGCCACCATAGGACTTCATATTTGGACAAGACTTATAAAAAACTAAACTGATGCTTGGTACTTTACGGTAATTTATCCCGTGAGCAACCGTATCATTTTAACAGAAAAAATCAAATCATGATTGTTTTGTTGAGGCTTGTATATTGTTCATATCTGACAAATATTAAGATAAAAACAAAATCAAACCGTGGTGAATACATACATATACTCGTATAATATATGTTCTGTAGATTTGATATTAATGATTTATAGTTGTAGCTACAATATCATTTGCTGGTGACAGACGATACTATGTTGTCGTCTGACTTTACTTTAATGTGTTCAGTTATTCAAGTCATACGGCACAAAACTCCTTCAAATATCATTTCGAAGAGCAAAGCCGGATTCATAAAACTATAACCTGTAAACATTTGCCACGTGCATTTTGAATTTGTATTAATGTAACTATAATTAATGGTTCAATTCTTAAATTGCATCATAGGTCATTTGAATATTCTACGTATAAAGCACTGTGATCATGTGTTTTTCCATTCAAGCGTGACTTATGGGCTATATAACTGAAACGATTAATATTGAAAGGCGCCTTAACAGTCTTGCATCTCTTTCATTCAGTTTATCCCTGTGTATTTTCACCGGAGGTCAAGCTGAAATTAGACAGCCTCCGGCTGAAAAAAAGAAAAAAAGTAAGTTATGAGACTGATTCTAGTTTGAAATGACGGTTTGTTTTAGTAATAAATGACGGTTTGTGTTAAGTCTAGCATAAGTAGGTAGGCAGGTTATCAGACAGGAAGAAAGATTAGTAGATAAACAAGTATGTAAGCAGGTAGGCAGGCAGGTAGGTTTAAAGGTAGCCAGACAGTTATATAGACATGCATGCGCGTGGATATGTTGGCGGACAGAAATGTAGACAGACATGCAGGAAAACAAGATCACATGTATGCAGGCAGATGTATTGGCAGGTAACCATGTAGACAGACATGCAGGAAAACAAGATCACATGTAGGCAGGCAGATGTATTGACAGGTAACCATGTAGACAGACATGCAGGAAAACAAGATCACATGTAGGCAGGCAGATGTATTGGCAGGTAACCATGTAGACAGACATGCAGGAAAACAAGATCACATGTATGCAGGCAGATTATTGGCAGGTAACCATGTAGACAGACATGCAGGAAAACAAGATCACATGTAGGCAGGCAGATGTATTGGCAGGTAACCATGCATAGACAGAACATGCAGGAAAACAAGATCACATGTAGGCAGGCAGATGTATTGGCAGGTAACCATTGTAGACAGACATGCAGGCAAACCAGATCACATGTAGGCAGGCAGATGTATTGGCAGGTAACCATGTAGACAGACCATGCAGGAAAACAAGATCGCATGTAGGCAGGCAGATGTATTGGCAGGTAACCATGTAGACAGACATGCAGGAAAACAAGATCACATGTAGGCAGGCAGATGTATTGGCAGGTAACCATGTAGACAGACATGCAGGAAAACAAAGATCGCATGTAGGCAGGCAGATGTATTGGCAGGTAACCATGTAGACAGACATGCAGGAAAAACAAGATCCGCATGTAGGCAGGCAGATGTATTGGCAGGTAACCATGTAGACAGACATGCAGGAAAACAAGAATCGCATGTAGGCAGGCAGATGTATTGGCAGGTAACCATGTAGACAGACATGCTAGGAAAACAAGATCACATGTAGGCAGGCAGATGTATTGGCAGGTAACCATGTAGACAGACATGCAGGAAAACAAGATCGCATGTAGGCAGGCAGATGTATTGGCAGGTAACCATGTAGACAGACATGCAGGAAAACAAGATCGCATGAAGGCAGGCAGATGTATTGGCAGGTAACCATGTAGACAAACATGCAGGAAAACATGTAGATAGGCTTGCAGGTAGACAAACACTTCAATAATGTAATATCCTTAAATATCAAATCATTGTATAATTATTTTCATGATACAGAAAGTGCAGGGAAAGCACTGGATATTGATTTACGTCTCAAAGATTTCACCATTACCGCAGACCTATGGAAAATGTAACTTCAGATGGAATACTCCTGACTCTGACCAGAATATAAGGATGGAGTTAATGTGCTTGTAAGTTTCAAAAACAGGTTTGGATTTACTCTTACCCTCTAGATACATTAAATGGACTTGTCCACCTTTCAATATGGAAAAAAAACCATTCTCAGATGACACTAATGTGCCGGCAGATCTTGGTCCGGATAGATTCATGTGCGGCAGGGTAAAGGTTACTTAAATTGGTGCCTACTGCTTCAGCCCGGTCATACCAAAACCATATAAACATTTTATATTGGTAGCTTTTCATAATATATATAATATCATTATATATATAGGCCCTTTATAGAGGGTATATTTATTTGTGCACGTTTCGTCAGATAATTATTAAAGTTAATTTAAATCTATATAAGTATACGTCTACTGTAAATTCATGAATAAATTATAATTTTCTGCAACTGTAGACATTTTGTTGTATTATAAATGTGTTATGAAATATTTTGAAAAGGGTCAAATTTAGTAATGTAATATAAACCTGTCAAAAAAATTTTATAGCCAATGAATATACGTAAGGTTGAAATAAATATCAGTTATTTGACTTTCATTTCTGTTCTTTGATTATATTGCTTTACAACCTTTCCATGTCAATTGTACAACACGTTGAATAAGTGAAATAACAAGGAAACGCTGATTTTTAAGGTTCTTTCGGGGATTTTTTTTGGCCCTTATATTATAGCCGAATACTCGGTCATATCCCCCCAAATGAAAATAATTATATTAAGAAAAAAAAAATTTCCCGTTTGAAAGTTTAACAAACTAAAAATATGTTAAATATAAAATTCTAAAATCTCTGAAAATAAAGGCTATTTCACTGTTATAGCTGATATAGAGCTTAAATATTTGAGGATGCCATCCTAAACAGTGATTGTTTGCATTTATTCAATCAAGATGCCATCCTAGACAGTGATGATTGTTTGTATCATTCAATCACTGCAACTTATCAGTCATGCATTTCCACCAATTTTTAACAAAACATCGCTGAAATTCGCAATAACATTATGGGTCATGTTTCCATAATCCTTGGAAAAAAACTGGACTCTATTTCTTATTTCTAATTATGTTTCAGCAATTCCACCTTAAAAGAATGCGGAAATTACGAAAGGATGATCACACGGAAAGTGTCTGACTGTAATCGAGCAGAGGAGAACGGTAGTGAATAAAACATCTTGAATAAAAGGAGTCATATATAAATATTTAGTTTCTATGAAATTTGATTTCTTTGATTAAAAGTACTACTTTTATATGCCATTGAACACATTAAAACGTTTATTTTTGTGATAAAGCCGATCAGATATAGCATATATCGTTTTAGAAACTGGGCAATCTCCCTTCTCTTATTTCGACAGAGCGGACAATTCCCCTGCCGTTATTTTACCAGGGCAGACAACTCCCTTCCGGTTGTTGTTTTTTTTTTCACCCTAGGCAATCCCCCATCAGTAATTTTGACAGAGCGGACAATTCCCCGGCCGTCTCCTTTCTTTCCTTCGGTATGTGCACGTCGTAGAGAATGCACAGGGCATTGACAGAAGATTTGGAGCTTGGCTGAATTTTTTTACCAATGACACGTCGACAGTTCATGATCCGAGCGTTGTTGTTATATACAGTACCTTTGCTTGTATAACATTCCTCTAAGGTCTACCTCCTCCTTATCATGTTGTCTAATGTAACTATACATTTAGGTTCTCATTAGGACTTCAAATCACTTGCCCCTCACCGCTGTGGGTTCGAATCCCGACAGGGACTTTGGATTCTTTCATGTGAGGAAGCTATCCAGCTAGCTTACGGAACGTCGGTGGTTCTACTCAGGTGCCCGTTCGTGCCTGAAATAATGCACGGAAGGGCACCTGAGGTCTTCCTCCACAAATAAAGCTGGAACGTCGCGATATGACCTTTACTGTGTCGATGTGACATAAAACCCAAAACAAACAAAACAAAACAGGTTCTCATTGACCGCCGTACAGTGACCTACTTTTTGCTCGAAATTCAAATCATTATTGTCCGTGGAAATTGCATGGAGGTCAATTATCAGGACTTTGTGCTTCAAAATTAACCCTTAAAGGGCATGTCCGTGGTCCGTGCTCGACAGCGAAAGCTTCTTTTTGTGCATAACGGGCGGATGGACCCTCATTAAGCAAAGAACAACATACGCGTGCGCACAAACGTACGTATACGTACATGCAATTCTCTCATAAATCGAGTGTCTATTAAGCCGATTCAAATAAACAGCCGGCGGGGAATTGTCGGCCCTAATAAAAAATAGGGGATCAGAATTGTCCGCTATGTAAATTCAATAGATGCGACTGAAGGGTAATACCAGTTAGTGTAAATATAACATATGCGGCTGTGCTGATATGCTTTACAGGTTGCATTCATTAAATCAAGATGCCATCCTAGACAGTGATTGTTTGCTGTAGTATAATACTTTATTTCGCGTTTTTAGTAGTTGTTTATCAATACAACAGTTAATGTGATTTTAGTGTAATTCCTTATTTCGCGTTTAAATACTTTATTTCGCCTTTTATTAATTTATTTCGCGTTTTTAATGGCTTTTAATACAATTGTAGATGCAATTGTAGTGTTATACTTTATTTCGCGTTTTAATGGCCGTTAACACAACAATGAATGCGATTTGAGGGTAATATTTTATTATTAATATGTGTAAATACAACAACGGATGCGGTTGAAGTGTGACATTTTATGTTTTACAGGTGTAAATAGAGCAATGGTTGCGAAGTTTTACAGTCAGGATTTGAACGACTATTTCTGGTACTACGCGTGTTATGAGTACGACAATGACGACAAATGCACGACGGGATTTCTAGATCTTCTCGTCTGCAAATCTAGATACCCTGGTACGTAGATAATTTAACCATTTACCTATTGAATTTGTGAAATAGATTTGTCTTGCTTTGAATCTGGAACAGTACACTCATAGATTAAGGGAGTTCAGTATATAATAACAAAAATAGATATATACAAACAGTAAAACCTATGTTTTTCTATACGGCGGCAAAACCGAATCATTTAAATGTAAGTTATATAGTTAACGTAAAAACATGAGTCAACATGATCTGCTTTATTTCTTTCTAAAAGGTCCTTTTTATGTAATTCTATTTGTTGTTTTCTCGTATAGAATGTACGCAATATTCTCTTTGGAAACTATTCAACGCTTGTCATTCAAATGACTTGGGAGTGTCACATAGAAAATTTCATCTTAACAACCGTATGGAAATACAAAAATGTATAGATCAAAGAATGTTTCTAAACTCAACACTAAACACTGTATCATAATAAAATGTTGAGTTCTGCTCGTGAAATGAGTTTGTAAAATGGAGTATGGACGTTTACTAACATCCATGGACAGGCTCACTAACATCCATGGACATGCTCAATAAAACCGAGCCTGCAACATTTTCAATTGTGTCGTATTATCCGCCCTTAAATAATTTAATTTGATATAGAGTTTAATTATATTTTACGATGTTGAATGACAGTTTCTTTACATGATTGGTCACTTTGAACAGCGTATATAACGGACACATTTTTGTTTGGTTTATTGTCGCACCAACACAGTATAGGTCATATGGCGTTTTTCCAGCTTTACTGGTGAAGGAAGACCTCAGGTGCCGATCTGTACATTAATTCAGCCACAAACGGGAACCTGTGTACAGCCACCGACGTTCTGAAAGATAGCCGGATAGCTTTTTCACTGCTGGCGAGATGCAAGTGGTTTGACGTCATTAACCATTCGGCAACGGACGCCCATTCCGTTTTGTGGCTTGACCAATTTTGAATGTTAATATGTTTTTGTTGTTTGCTAAAAAAAACTTAATGTAATCTAATTTTTACAAAAAAAATAAACGGTGTCAAACAGCTTTGCACCTGAATTGTCGTTCAGGTATTCGGTGTCTGGTTTGTATTTGGTCGTTGTCTGGTCAATGTCTTATCGTTGTCTGGTCTGTGTCTTGTCGTTGTCTGGACTGTGTTTGGTCGTTGGCTGGTCGTTTTCTGGTCTGTCTGGTCTGCGTCTGGTACCAAAGTGTTTGCAAAGGCAAATGGGATAGCTATCGGCAGGATTTAACTATCAAATTTATATTTACATCTACAAATGTATATATTTATATCTTTAATAATACTAGTATGTGTTGAAATGCATTAACAGAGTCTGACGATAGTGAACTTGACCTACAAGGATTTCCCTGGCAACTAATAGCCTCCGACCTGAAATATCATTTCAACATGGATATGTCGGATGACAGAATGATGTTTTCATGGAAAGGATCAGGTAAGGATCTTCATTTTTTATGCAGTTTAGTATTCTAAAGGCAATGAATAGCAATAATAATATTGTTGTTGTTAAATTGTTTCTTGTTGGGAAAATATATTTCATCTATGTACGAGGGGTGTTTAAGAAATAATGTGTTTACCATTTATAATGAAACTGTTGATTTTTTGGGGTATTTTTAGAATGTGGATTTGATGGCAAAGTGGTTGTAACAAGCGGAACACACAATGGCAATTAGCTTTCTTTTGTACTCGCTTTTATTTTAGATATTTTATACATTCTAAATTTTAATCAACGAGCATATACTGGTAGCCTGTCTACATTTATAATAGTCAAATACAATGTACACTATGTCGGAGGTTGGACTCTCATGATTTGCCTTCTGCTTTGGACAGTTACCAGTGCATGATTATTTTGTTTACTTTAAAATTGAATTTATTGAAATTGAAGCAGAACAGGAAATTGTAAATATGTGAGTTATACATTAAATGTCAAAAGTAAATCTCTTGAATTAAAAAACAACAACAACAACAACAAAACAAAGCAACAATTGATGTTTAAACTACATGTATAGTGTTATAAAAAAAAACTTTCCTTTGACTGTTAAATTTGTATTTATAATTGTGTTGACCTATTCTTGTACTAAAGTATCATAACTATAGCATATCTCACATTCAAATTCATAATAAATCATGTATACTTTACTGGGTTTTGTTATAATATTAAAGCAATTTTTGTAAAAACAACAAAAAGGGGAAAATCTCGCAAAATAACCTTACTATAACACAAATTCAACTTTTGCTGTCGAGTAGGGAAACCTAGACATGCCACCAATAATATCCCTCAATGGTTAATTTTTAAGCATAAACTGGTGATAATTTATCTCCATGCAATTTCCACGGAGTATCAGCCAAAGATGTGAAGTTTGAGGCAAAGGTTGGTCACTGTTCAGCGGTGAAAGGGAGGTAGCCTTAAAAGGGCTGTTATTGCCAAGCAAAGGACCATCTTACAAGCCGTAACTCTCTGGAAAATATGTCCAAAATAAGACAAAAAAAAAAAGGAAATGAAACAACAATTATAACAAATTGGTAAATATCTAATTTTGGACTCAGTAGCATACATGTATATTCATAATATTATCATTTATGCGTTGGAATGAAAAAAAAAGTTCTGTGTCGTCAATATTGAATGAAAATAGCCATGACGTCAGCGGCTGCAAAACCTGAAAAGGAAACAAAATACGTCACGTTCTATTACCTATCTATTATTATACACTCTTATCTATACAAACACGTGACTGTTTCATATAATTCCCACATTGGACTCTGTACAATGTATATGTTTTGATTTTCCCATAAAGATGAGTACGTATGAATTTTTCCATGTAACGTCAATAACGTCAAGGATTATGTTAGACGTAAACAACAAACGTATTCAATTGAAAGAGCTTCATTTGAATGACGTTAATATCAGAATATTCATATATTTATTTCGTAAGACTGTGTCCACTGTGTAAAACTTTGTAAAGCTGTGTTGAATATTATGGTATTAATTCCAAGATTTCACTTACATAACACTTTCATGGCAAATCAGTTATAGTCAAATTTTCGAAATTGAATATATTGTTAACGTGTATCCCATAGTTCGTTCAATGCGACTTAATTCCGAAATATGCTCATTGTAAATAAGTTATAAATGATAGAGCCAATTGAGCTTATAGTATAGCACATAATCAATCAAAAAATCAAATAAAAACAACTGATTAGAGAAGTTTCCCCTTCTGTCTGCATGAGGTGTATGTCAATACCTTCCTGTACAGCACCTTAGTCTTCAAACTGCATGTACATGTAGTATATATCAAATTATCAAAGTAGGGAATAGAGGTTACAAAGTAAGTTAGAGTATGTGTTACCATTTTTGTTAAACGCTAAATACATGAAAATAAATATAATGGCATTTGCTAGTTCTTATAAAGACCTTGGTAAAAGAAACATTTGAGCAGAAAACATTTGGGGATCACTGATCTCAAAAATGCTCCCCCTTCTTTTTTGCTTAAAATGTTTCTTTTCTCATTTTATAAGATCTTGCAGTTTCAATAAATTCTATTAGAGCGGTTTTCTGCTTTTTACCATAATTACTATAACATTCCCCCGCACAGACTTCTTTTTCATTTATTTTTATGCTTGCACCCGCATTTCGTTGGCAAGCAAAAAATTGGGGAGTACATTTTTTTTTAAATCGTTTTTACGTTTATCATACTTCATTATATTTATAATGCACGAGGTATGATCAAAAAGTTCTCGGCCCGATATACTTCTAGCCACTACACTGCCATTTACAAACGATACGTCGATACCGATATCTTATTAAAGATTACTGACAGAGTTACACGCGGTTAGTAACATAAGTAGAGGGGGTGTCATTTAGACCAAATGGAGAATGTTGAAATCAGAGCCGTTATTAAGTACCTCTATAAGAAAGGGATTTCCCGTTAGGAAATCCATGCCAATTTCATGGACACACTTGGGAAGGAGTCTCCTACCTATAGCACTGTGAAAAAATGGGCTGCTGAATTTAAGAGGAACAGGGAGAGCATTGGAGATGATGAGCGACCTTGGCGGCCAAAAGATGCCATCAACGATGAAACTGCCGAAGCTGTGCACGATCTGGTCATGTGCGACAGAAGGCGAGACCTGCGAAGCATTGCTAGTGAAATGGGTATAAGCTTTGGTTCAATTCTGGCAATTCTGATTGATGTCTATAGCATGTCAAATGTTTCCGCTAGATGGGTCCCCAGACAGTTGACTGACGACCAGAAACGGACCAGGCTTGGCATTGCAAGATATCTTTTGTCTCGCTACAAAGATGAACCTAATTTTATCTACCGGATCGTAACACAGGATGAAACATGGGTCCATTACTTCGGTCCAGAATCCATGAAACCCTGAGTCATCCCCGCCGAAGAAATTCAAAGGGGTGCCATCAGCGCAGAAGATGATGGCTTCAAGTTTTTGGGATAATCAGGAGATAATCATGATTGACTATCTTGAGCAAGGCCGTTCCATAAACGTTACGTACTATGCAAACGAATTGAGACGTCTGCATCAAGAAATCGCGCTTATAAGGAGGGGCAAACATGCTCAAGGCGTACACACATCCCAAGTTGTGATGGCTGCTGCAACTGACTTCGGCTTTGAAATTTCCCCCATTCCTCATATTCTTCGGACTTTGCCCCCTCTGACTTCTACCTGTTTCCGAAACTGAAAACCAAGCTTCGTGGTAGACGTTTTGGAAGCAATGAAGGTGTCATGGAGGCAGTCAATGAGTTTTTGATGACCAAAATAGAGAGTTCTATTTTGAAGGGTTAAACAAGTTGGAGCACCGGTGGGCAAACTGCATTGATGTAGATGACGATTATATTGAAAAACAAGACCATTAGTTGGGTTCTCTAACTACCGGAAGTACATTGGGCAAATCCTAGTAAGAGCGCTATTGTTAAAGTTGTACATATTTCATACCCGTTTATCACTAATATACCTTTTAATTTCCCAGGATACCCGTAACTGTTTGATGTAGAATATAAAAACTGGGGATATACGGGATGCTGATCATAGCTGCATGTGTAATGGTGTGGAACAATTGTGGCCGTGTACATGACGTCATCAGCACACTGTCCAAGATGGCGGCTGATGAGAAACCGCCGCCAGGGGTCGTTTCTGAAATATTAGTAACAAAATCTATTTAAATTCGAACATGTAAATGACAAAAATGCATAAATAATATACTTTCTTAATATATCCTTGTATGCCTAATTTGTATGCTTGATATGCATGCTAATTTAAACTATACGGAAATGATATATACATCTAGTTCTTATGCATGTAAATACTCCAAGATATGATATCATGCATCTTTGATTTCAATATTTTCATAAATGTACACTTTCTATTCACATCCGAATTGTAAACTAATGAGTTGACATAAATAATATCTATGAAGATCTAAACAATTTACCCAAAAATTGAAAATAACTGAAATCTTTGAGACGCCATATTGGTCCACGATGAATGGATGATCCGGAAAGATTTAAACCATGATGTGATGTCACTTCCGGTTCCGTTGAATACAATATATGCACGTTCAGTATTATTGTTATAAAATGAAAGTTTCACCTGTTAAATTAAATGAAATGTAAACACAGAGACATAAAAACAACATTTCATTTTTAAAAAGACGTTTGCTATAGTTTCTTCATATTTTACAAAGAAGGAAAAAGGACAATGAAGGAAAATTCAAACTACTGTAGTTGTTTTATAAAAAAAAACAATCATAATTGAAGCACAATAGGGTCAACTTCTTTTCGGGTTAATTGCCACTGAAAGTTAGTCTTTAAATTTGCTTGTTTAGGCCATTTTCAAGAGCAGATAACTCAAAACTTCCTTTTTGAATAAAATTGAAGCATAGCATGTAAACATGTCAATAGAATGGTTTAAAACCATTATGACTAGAAATAAAAAAAATAAGAATGATTTTAAATAAAATAGGGTATCAATATACATTTGTACTTGACTTCGAGTAATGTTGTCTTGAATATATCTTATAGGAGTAAAAAACCTCACTTTCAGGACCAGATAACTCAATTAGAGGCCGAGACCCATAAATTATCGTTCATTAATTTTCTAAATTTGTAATTCTCTTTCACTGTACAACGTTTAAGAAAAATATGTTCTTTTCCTTCTTTGTCAATGTAAAAACACGGGGAAACTATACACGGAAACGTATTTAATGATTTGTCTCATTAAATCAAATAATGACACATATGTATATAATAACATATTCGAATCATATCTGTATTTGTGTTTCTACTTTAAGAAGTATTTGTGATTTTTTTTCATTGAAAATGATCAACAGGTTATAAACTGGTCATGAACGAAGTCATTTTTTTCCGTTGTACGTTGTAGTCACAAAAAAAATCAACAAAAAGCACTCTTGGTGTAAATCAACCAATTTGGAAACATCTCGGCTATAATCAATAACAACTAAAGTTAGACGGAAAGAGCCGAGAAGATGCGTTTGATCAATCAACGCCAGTTATGTGTTCGCATAGACAAGCTAAAAAGTATGTTTTCATTATAGATATACCTTAGTTATGCCTAAAAGTTTCCAAGTATCAACGACCGGATGTCTGTAATGTCTTTTACAGGAGGTGACGTCAGTCGTCATGCACGTTTCATCTGTGATTGTAGCATTTTCGCCATCTTTCCATACACGATAGATGTCACTTCCGGCGCCTGCCGTACCACGAAACACAAGCGTCCATTCTAAACAAAAAATAAATAATAACTGAATATTAATAGAACTTATCTTATTGCATCAAAAGAAAACAATATATAATGATGCAAACAATATGGCGAATAACTAACCTTTGGACGTTCTATGTATGTAAAGTCCTGTATATAAACTTATTATTATTCTTTTCCGAGTTCTGATAATATTTTTGCATAGAGATATACATTTCTCTATATTAAGTAGAACTAGATAATTATATACGTATAACCATTTACTGGCTATAAGAATATGAAGGTGTTACACATTGTTGAGTACTGTACTGAACGAAGCACCAGCCGAGTCCAATAGAGGTTTTGTAGCTGTGTTCCAATCAAATTTAAATAGATTCAGTATTGATGTAGAATGATCCTTTTATTTCACACCAGTATTTTATTAAACATGTTGGCAGAATTTTGTTACTTTGAGTACAGTATGGATTTATGGCTTTTTCGGACTCAGAAAATGAAAACAAATGAATCCAATACTGATATACAGTGAAAGCTCACGTGGTTCAAACAATGGAAATTCATATAACAGCATATATCTCTAATGAAAAAAATGTGAAATTTTGACATCAGATGTGTGACACATGTATATTCTGTGAATGCTTAAACATCTTAATATAATTTAAAGTTAATTATGATACCACCTTCCAAGCAACGCAATCCACCGTAGTTACTTTCACAAATGCACGTGAACGTACTGTTACCATCGATACAGGTGCCGTGGAATCCACAAGGACTGGATGCACAATCATCAATATCTGGAAAGAAACAGGAAGTTTGTTAGTGGTTATGTACATTTCATTCGCAGCGTGCATGCACGCTTCAGCAAGATCTATTGAAATAAATTTCGTAAGAAGACATTTTTAAAGATTACCACGCTTAAATTAGCAACCATCAAAGTGTTACCCCGAACACAAATTTTGAAAACCAACATCACTGATATCTTCGTGTTTTTTTACAATATTTTACAGAGTGATTATAAGATAATCATTATAAGAAAACGTGGAACATGGGTCCCAAAACAGTTCTAACTTAAATTATGTGTTTTATTTCTTATGTAATTATTTCAACAGGCATTTTCATTCTCCAGTTATAACAATAGAATCAGTATTTATAATTTTAAAAGAGTCTCAGTGAGCGGGAAAAACACAACGGTAGACAGAAGTAATAAAAATACATTTGAGCCGCGTCACGACAAAACCAACATAGTGCGTTTGCGCCGTCTGATCAAGATCCATGCTGTACGCTGTCATTTTCTCCACTAGTAATAGAGTTGGTAAGCGAACAGCATGGATCCTGATCCGACTGCGCGGATGCGCAGGCTGGTCTGGGCCTATGCTGGTCGCAAACCCACTATGTTGGTTTTGTCTGGACGCGGCTCATATTTTGTTACCTATACGTAATCATTGCCCTATTTCAAGTCTCTTTACCCTAACTTGTTTATTTTGAGACATACCATATTCACAGAACACTCCACCATATCCAGGAAAACAGCGACAGAGTGCGACACCATCACCTTCGAAACATGTTCCATTTCCGCAAGAATGGCCACATTTATTTTCAGTATTTTGTATACCTTAAATATAATTAACACATACAAAATTTATCTAAAAACACCATGTCGTATGTATTGATCGAATTTGTATTATAATTTTAAAATACGAGGGCTGATAATAGCAGTCATACCAATTTAATATTTTTCTCAAGTATGTATTTTCTACATTATTTCTAAATTAAAAAAGATAAAAGTAATTATAGCAAAACGCCTATCGTCATGGTTACATGATCAGCAATTCACGGAGCACAGAATAGCTTCTCGAATAAAAAGTTTATACAAATTACTAACTTGTTAACGAGGATCAAACCTACTGTGGGTTCGCGACATTTGTGTTGCAAAATTGACGTCAGTTTCAAGGACGTAACAACGGAATGTTATTAAACTTTACGGTAACGTTAATATGACACCATCTGAAATTTGGAAATTTATTTTCAAAGTCGATCCGACCAGAAATTGTTCAAGGCAACTAAATTGTATTTAAATGCCAAAACAGATCTAGAAGCTGAGACGACAGTGTTTTGAAAAAGATATCGCACCGGACGACCGAAAGTAGCACGGATTTTTGACGTTTTTGAAGTTGTCGGGTTGTTCCGGGACAATGTATATATTTTGTATGTAAAGACTACTAAAGTATTTTATTGTAAACGATGGACACAGCTAAATGTTTTGTTAGATTTGTTTGCTGGCAAACGAATGTAATACAAATGTACTGCTTTAGAGTAAAAAACTAGTATTTTATCTTTCTAGACAACCCTCGTACGTGTATATATAAAGATCAACAAAATATCACTTTAAATAAAGGACAGATAAATATGGCAACACCTACCATGTTCACAGAATTCACCGACAAAGCTGGGAAAACACGAACATGATAACCCAACATCTTTTATAACACATGTTCCGTTCTTGCATGGAAATATGTCGCATTCGCTGGAACCTTAAATATGAAGCAATTTTGATATATATATCAGTAAAAATATGAAAAGTGTGTTATAGAAATGTTTAGCTAAACACCATGTAGCTGTATAGTTTACCCCTATCCGTCATATCAGATAAGATGGCGTAATAAAATCTGATTTATTATTGAACTCTTTAAGTCAGTGACAACGTACCTTAAAATACATTTTGAACAAAACAAAAATAGATCTAAAAAATCGAGGTATTGAGGCATTCACACCTTTAGTTATATTTAATGCGCATAACCGATTAAAATTTAGAAAGGCAATTAAAAAAATTATGAAAAGAATTGCATGCATATTTATGTTGTGTCTGTTAACCATCATCAAAGTTAGAAATGATATTAGAAATGATGTGTCAAATGTTCTACTTCATATGAATCAGCTAATGATTCATCATGTACATCGTGGCATGTACGTATATGTACGGTGACTATAGGAATTTATTGAGGGGCTGTCTTAACATTATCGTTACAATGATATGAAGATGATTTAGTTATGTTTGATAAGAAATGGTGTTACGCATTACAGTACCTTTACAAAAAATGATTTTAGTCAAAGGTAAAGGCAAGTTTATTTGCAAAATAAAAAATCTAGTTTATAAAAAAAAAATAAGTACAAGTGATTACCTTTCACGACGACCGACTCTAAGTCTTGTTTATTTTCTTCAGTACACGATCCTAACATAAAGCCCAACAATACACTACCAGTAACGAGTAAAATAATAAATACAATCGTTAAAAATACAATTTTTGATAACTTAGAACGTCTAATTTGTACAACATCCTTTTTATTTTCCACTATTCCTCCGCGGTCTTGCCCTGGAATTTCATATATGCTTGAATAATGGTGATCAGGTTCTCTAGAACCGGTGTCTTCATATATATTTTCATTTCCGGTTGAAAATGGCTGCATTTCCGGTGGCACAATATTTTCAGTGTTCGTTGTTGACTGTCGTAAGTCTCTCTGACCATTATTCATTAAGTCCGTGTTATAATAACGATAGTCAAGTGCAGTTTCATCCATAATTAATTGATTATTATCAATAAAGTAGTGATTTCCGTTATATATTTGGCGATGTCCGCAAGTAAATTATTATTTCCTTTGATGTTTTGAAAAAAAAGTTCTTCAGTTCAATCATAATTTCATTTTTCTAGTTGCGCAACCTGTTGTACATATAAATTTAACTTACATTATCTGTAATATATGCAAGGTTTGATACGGATATAAAAAGGTAGTCATCATCGAAATAAATCCTACACACGCCAGTTTGTTATCTCTTTGCTGGTAAATTTGTCTGTTTGGTTATGTTCCACTTTAAAAGCTTTCTTTTAAGTCAATATTTGAAATGATTAAAGCCCTATATTGATATATGTATACACGCAGACACGATTAACCGAACAGTTAAAATACAATGATGATTAACTATAATAGTACATTGTTAACAATATAATTATATATTCACTTTTATACTTGCATATTTTTCAGGTCTAATTTTGTATTTCATGAAAAGACTTTACAGGTGGACAGATACTAGATGTCCTAAAGCTATCCGCTAACTGAGTCACTTTATACATTTGGTAAATGTGAAGTGACCGGAAAATACCTCTCAACGTATACTGGTCGGTATATAAGTACTGATTTTGAACACTTAATATACATTGATAGATCATTTAAGGCAAACATTTGTCGCTGAAATACTACTAATAAGTCACGTGTTAGATGATTCTCAAATAAGTTATGTGAAAAGATACCATAAAATTATAATTGCTTTTGTTGTTTTATCGCGATTTACCATTTTTTCATATTATCGCATGGAACAAATTTAATGCTTTACAGCATAGAAACAACATATGAGCCGCGTCATGACAAAACCAACATAATGGGTTTGCGACCAGCATGGATCCAGGATCCATGCTGTTCGCTTACAAACCCTATAACAAGTAGAGAAACTGATAGCGAACAGCATGGATCCTGATCAGACTGCGCGGATGCGCAGGCTGGTCTTGATCCATGCGGTCGCAAACGCACTATGTTGGTTTTGTCATGACGCGGCTCATATTATGTTTGGTGAGAGAGGGGAGGAGACTGGGGGTTACCTCGCACCAGCTCTTGTAATGGTTATATATGATGAACGGTCGATATTTACATTTTAATTTCGACGTTACGTCATGTGACTTTCATCATCATGTGACGTCTGTGAAATCTGCCAAGGGAGGTAATCACTGTGAGGAATTTGCATTTTACAGTACTGGTGTTCGGTTCTGTGTGTGATTCTTTTCACGCCGAAATGAAACATCTGAGGACTTCTCCAAATGAATTTCACCTTTACAAACCTTTAGCAACTTTATCTGCTTTAGCCATTACAAAGCCGGAGCCGGAGCTATATGCCATCATGTTCCCATGCCAGTCGCCAGTGTCACAGGGTGAATAAAATATCGCCCCGTCCGTGCTTTGCCTTGTGTCCTCTCCTGTTTTTGATTGGGTCCTGCTGGGCTCCTTGTCGGTGGTTTTGTGTTGCTGGGTCGTGTGGAGGGGTGCGTTTGTTGAGCGTCGCCATTCCTTGTTGATCTTGTTTTTCATATTTTAACTCAAACCTATATGTATACAATTAACCCTTGGAATATCTTTCTGCTTCTCTCTTCCCCTCGGTACGTGTACGTCGTTGAGAAGACACAGGGCAGCGGCAGATGATTAAAGAACCAATGCTTCGTGTGTGACGGCAAGTTCGCATGTTTTCTACAGCTCGAGGTAACGTTTAAGGCGGCACGACTTAGATTGCATGAAGTTAGCTGTCGGTGTCCTGACTAAAGCCGAGGGGAGTGGCCCTACAAAGTAGGCTCTGAGTCGACGAGGATGGTGTGCTAGGGTGCGTGAGCCCCTAGCACGGTTAGACGGCTTGAACGGCAGGCCTTTTGCTGGCACAAACAGCCCTTTTCAGGGCTACCCTTTTATATTGTCAAAGGTTACTGTACTTGACCGCCGTACAGTGACCTACTTTTGGTTCAAAATTCATATCTTTGGCTAATACTCCGTGGAAATTGCATGGAGGTATATTATCACCAATTTGTGCTTCAAAGGGCATGACTGGTGACATGTCCGGTCTCCGTACTCGACAGCGAAAGCTACATTTTGTGCCTGAAAGGCCGGATGGACCCTCATTAAGCATTACCTACCTACCTACCTACATACATACATACAATATTGTTCCGCAGTTTTATCGACTGATCTATCCCGCAATTCTCGTTCTCTTTATAATAGTAAGTAAATCAGTTACATTTAGATTTCAAAATCTCTGTGCCACTAACACTATTCAAGTAAAATGAGACCTTAAATATGTATTAGCCATCTACAGATTTAGATGCTTCAGAAAATTGCAGTTTTGTTGTGTTACCCCTGAAATTGTCCAGTGTGTACTGGCCATCGCAACTTTTCGGCCCTTTCCGTCAGTCTTCGGATAAGGACCTGAAAAATACACACAACACAACTTTTAAGGTCACCAGAGATTACGCAAAAAAACTTCCAGGTGCAATATAGGTGTTACACTAAAAATATGATCAATCAAACTAGGAATGACTTTTAGTTAGGCGCTTTAAACTTTAAATCAATTTATTATTATTTTGTGTACACATGTATCATTCCAATAATCACACTCGTTATAAGCAAACATTTGAGCCGCGTCACGACAAAACCAACATAATGGGTTTGCGACCAGCAATGGATCCAGACCAGCCTGCGCATCCGCGCAGTCTGATTAGGATCCATGCTGTTCGCTTACCAATCCTATTACTGGATCCATGCTGGTCGCAAACGCATTACGTTGGTTTTGTCGTGACGCGGCTCATTTGTTCTGTGGTAAATACATTTATGCTAAGACTGATACATAAATTGCACAATACCTCTAGACTTACATAGTATACGACATGATTGATAATCATCTTGCAATACATATTATATAGAAAAGTAATTGAATTTCAAAAAAATTATTCTGTATTATCTTATTCCCGGTAAGTCTAGCTTGACCTTTGTCATACCTACAAATAATTACTTTAGTATTAAAATATTAAATAGAAAGTTGCTTGCGGGAAAGAATTGTCTTACAAAAAAGCCCTGGTAATAAGATGGGATCATTCTCCATTATAATGTGTTTGTTGTACAGCTTGTTTTTTTCCCCTTATATTTCATTTCACGTGGTCACTTGTCAAGATAGCAAACGAGTTGGGCCAAAATTAATGAAGAGTGAAAATGTGTGAAATCACGGCTAGAGCTGTGGCGCAATAATTCAAGCTTAAACTTCTAAGAATATCTATGTTATATCTAAATTAAACTGAAAGTGACATTATGCTCATATTTTCATAGTCATGTTGAGTTAAACTGACAATAAATTTCAAAAGATTGTCTCTTAAAACGGTGATTGACCAACAGTTTATATTGGAAAATGTTTAGAATAAAATTTAAATTTGTCTAAAATATAAAAAGACTGCCCCACTCTTTTTATGAACCGAACGTTACAGGTAAATTCTAATGGATATTTACGAAAAATTCGCTTGGACCCATGCATTGTTTATTGTTAATGTGAAATAAATTTTACATTAAAAAGAATTATTGCAAAATGAAAACTTATTTTGACATTCACTTGTTCACTCATTTATACCTTTGGATGGGCATAATGTCAATAATAGAAAAATTAAAAGCGGTATCAAATAAAATATAGACACGTTGTGCATTATTACCGGGGTCATGTGATTTTGAAAACATCAGAAACTCTTTGTTTATTCCAAAGATCGTTTAAAATGTCGTTTTTGTGTTTAAATAAAAAAAATGTACTTAATCGATTGAATTTTTTTTTATTAAAAACAAAAAAGGAAATGCGTCGGCCGGGAATCGAACCCGGATCGACTGCTTGGAAGGCAACCATGCTAACCTTTACACCACCGACGCTTATATACAATTGTGTTCATAACTAAATATAGATTATGTATAAAAAATGTCTAAATATAGAACTAATATTACGGTTATGAACAGGCTTTCAAATGATCTAGCAACAATAGATGGTCAATTTTAATGCCTGACTTTGCATTGTATAAGTATAATTCTGCGAACGATGTCAATTTAATGTTAATTAAATCAGTTAAAGTGAAACCTACGATGAAGAAATTTAACTATTTCACCGCAGGTAGAAACTTCGTGACGTCACTTCCACAATCGTAAATGAAGGGAGTTTCCTAATAAGTTTTACTCTAAAATTATGGCTAAGACCTACGATTATTTGTTTAAATTACTTTTAATTGGTGACTCTGGTGTTGGGAAAACTTGTGTATTGTTCAGGTTTTCAGAAGATGCCTTTAATGCTACTTTCATTTCAACTATAGGTGAGGAAAAATAATAAAGTTGGACAAACTTTGGTGGGTGGGGAACTACCTGTTGGTTTAGTTTTAACATATTTACGTTTACTAGTATGAATCCTAGTCCAAATGATTTTATCCGTTTGCGACAGTCACAATTTAACCTTTATACTTACCGAAAATCATTTTATTCGTGCATTGGATGTCACAAAAATCATTTATTTCTTGATACATATGTTTGCATTGAGTTTTGTGGATTTTTTATTGCATAACTGTGAGCAAAGTGATTAAACAACTGCATAATATGAAATTAGGTGCAACCTATGGCGCGGAAAGCCCTTATGATTTATTATTTAAGCATAACATGTTTAGTGTATATGTTAACCAGATCTATTATGCAATTCATTAATAAGTAAATGCAGGTATTTTGTACCGTAATCAGAAACGAATAAATTGGTGGTGTTCAACCTATTATCGGAAGAGGGACCACTGCGCATGCATCGGCGTTTGGAAAATCCCGTCCGCCATTTTCTGTTTATCTCTAATCACATCTGTTGTTTTTACGTTATTTTTAATGTGTTAATTTATCAAAAAGGATTTAAAAGTAACTTTTTACAATTATTATCGTTACTATAGTTCTTATTAATGAAATGAATATTCATTTTCTGATTTTGTACATCATTCTTTCACCGGAAGTGTTCTTTAGCATGCGTCTGCTAGCAATAGTCTGAATTATGTAGACGCTCATTAAAAGCGCTGTGATATCTATATTTAGCTCAAAAGAATTTCAAAATGGCGGCGCCCAGTTAACTAAGGATTTTTTTACAGCTCATTAGGTATAGGATATATATTTTTTGGAAATTTTCATTTACTTTTAATTTGATTTCATTTGAATTGATACACGTCATACATGTCATCTAAGAGCGCTACAGCCCTCGCGGGGCCTTTGGCCCCGCTCGGACTTTCCGCTATAGATTTTTACTGTTCATCAATCAAAGCAATACTTAGTTTATCAACTTTTGTCTTTGATTGTTTAAACTACATTAACCAGCTGCATGTCTGATGTAAGTTCTGGTTTCCGGAAAACTATAGCTACTGTTTTACATTTTTTCATGGTCTGAAAGTGGCTTTAAGCATTTGGATTCAACCATATGAAACTTACAGAATAAAGCATTGGGAAAACTTTTTGAATTTGGTATATAGCCTTTGAATTTTGAAAAGAATAATAAATTACAAATATGCTAATGTTGTGGTGGTCACTGACCTAACCGAAATATAGTGGTGTTTGACCTTATAAATAAATTCTTACCAGGATCATCATAATATAAGAACTTGAAACAAGGAAATATATCAAGTTCATTGTAATGTATTTATTAAGCACAACGACAGTATATTGCACAAGACATGTCAGTTCTTATACTATTAAACTAAGTGGAACTGTTAAAAAGAAATATCCTACTTAAGCAAGAATATGTTTTACGGGGATATTATTGTGAAATATAAGTGAAACACATTCATACAACCTTTCGACTTACAGTGACGTTTTTATGAAGCAGACTTTACAATAATATTAGAGTTAGGCACACAAACAAACACAAAACTGTTAAGCAATTACAAACCAATCAGGGATCGAAAATTCCACTTGTCTGCTCATAAATTACAAGTAGACATCGACGCAGGACGCATTCAAATTCGTTGTATGCTCGTCCAGCAGGACGAGTGAAATTTGCTGATAGAAAGCAAGAATTCTCAAAATCAGTTTGCTTTTATTATTAAATTCAGCGGTTTTCAAACACAGTTTTAGGGCAGAAATTTCACAACTCCAAAGAGTTATTTTTTTCACAATTGTTTATTGAAAATTCACAGTTGACTTGTCCAATATATGTAGTAGTCTTTGTATTCCAATACATGTCTTTGTATATTTTTAATGAGAAACAGAGACATTTAACTGTGTAACATGTTTATCATGAATCAAAGCATTTTCCCACACATGATTTTAATTTTTACCATTTCTATATTATAACAACATGAATAATGTCATAATTTTATGGTGCTCACCCCTGTATTAAATAATAATCCACTGACTCAGGACCATCTAATGTCTTCCACCACCAGTACAGCTGGAAAATTGCCATGTTGGTGCAACATAAAAACCAGCCCCCCCCCCCCCCCCCCCCAGTAAAAAAACCTTATTGGGTGCCAAATGTCACAAGGTTTTACAGGGGCTCAAACCTGGCACTTGTGGGAATATTGCCTCCACCCAGTAAAAGACCAGGATGCAAGAGAGAGGCTGACCTTCAAAGGTCACATCTGTATTGGTCAGGCACCACTGTATTCCCTGTACCCGTATCAACAAGAGTGAATATTGTTTTAACAGATAAATGTTTTTATCACCACTCCACAATGTAGCAAATGACAAAAGAATGAAAAATTGGTGCAGTAATAATGGAAACAAAAATTAAATCAGTATACTTAAATTTCCAAACAAACCGAATTTGACTGCTTATTCACCCAAAAAGTTGTGAAAACAGTAGGCCAATTTTAAGTATAAATTATGGAGAGCTGTCCTACTCGTCCAGCGTCCGTTTCCAGATTATCAGATTAAAGTTTTTGTGCTGTAAAATATTTTTTGCTATAATTTTTTTATTAGTCTCCTACCGGTTTACCGGTATTGAAAATATTTTTATGAAACTTGATATATGGATAGATGGCAGTATGGAGATTATGCACGTCTTTTTCTTTTCTTCATATGTTGAAAATTATGGTTGCTATGGCAACAAATAGACTGAAAATATGGCAAATTTTACACATAACCTGGATCCAGTGATAACGCAAAAAGTACTGAAAATATTTTTATGAAACTTGATATATGGATAGATGGCAGTATGGAGATTATGCACGTTTTTTTCTTTTCTTCCTATGTTGAAAATTCTGGTTGCTATGGCAACAAATAGACTGAAAATATGGCAAATTTTACACATAACCTGGATCCAGTGATAACGCAAAAAGTACTGAAAATATTTTTATGAAACTTTAAATATGGGTAGATGGCAGTCTGGAGATTATGCACATCCTTTTCTTTTCTTCCTATGTTGAAAATTCTGGTTGCTATGGCAACAAATAGACTGAATTTCAAGATTTCTGATTCTAGTTTTTACGTTTTTTCACTATAAGTTCTTTATTTCTTAAGGTATTTTCTTCAAACGTTAAATATAAGTTTCTAGTCATCAACCACATCATATGTGACAAGGTTTACAACTCTAGCACAAAATTTATCAGAATTTCCTCCCTTGAACTTAGAATTTTCATGAAAAAAATATTGTTTTTTTTTTAACTTTCTTTTACTTCAAATTCAAAACAAACATTCATTATCAACACCTTCATTACTACCCGTAATTGTTCTTTGTTACACTGACATCGTGTATGATGTCTTGCATCTTTATTTCAAGAGTTATCTCCTTTTTAATAATTTTGCTTTTAAAATTAAAATGTTATATTTTGATAACAGGGATGCTTAAAAAAATAACTTTAGAGTGTCCTTCAGTCTATCTATCTGTCTGTACATAAAAACTGTTTCCTGTGATCACTTTTAAAGAACTTTTTCAACAAATTTACTTAAAATAGAGACATAAGTGAATGGCCAATGGCCCTTCAGAATGTTGCTGGGGTTCTAACCGGTAGGGGACTTATGGATTGCTTGCAATACTATGATAATTGCTTGTTCTTCAAGTATCAAGTTCAAATGTATTTTCCTTATCATCAACAACATCTTGTGTGACAAGGTTCATAACTCTAAAGAAGAAGCAATATTTTCAGAATTATCTCCCTGAACTTAGGATTTTCCTGAAAAAAAATCCCATGAACTTAGATTTTTCCTTTAAAATGTTATTTCTTACTTCTTTATTTCTTATACTTTAAATATGTGTTACTTATTACATGTATCACCCGCATCATGTGTGACAAGATTCGTAACTCTAGCATGAATATTTTCAGAATTATCCCCCCTTGAACTTGGATTTTTTATAAAAATGTTATTTTTTGCTTTTCTTTATGTCAAAGGATTAACTGTAAAGTTAAAATTAATGCTTCATATCAACTCCCATATAATATTAAATGGTAATATGATGAGGTTCAAAACTCTAGCTTCAATATTTTCCAAATTGTCTTTCGATTAAACTTAGAATTTTCCTTATTCCAGTAAATAATAATTCTAAATTTTTGCAGTGATATTCTTTATTTCTTCAGGGATTTAATCTAGTTAAAATGAAAATAAAGCATTATCTTTGAAAATATCTATATGTCATATTTTAAAATTTTATCCTCTTGCTCCCTTACTCAATTAAAAACAAATAAAATTGGCAGGTTTTCAAAAAGTAACTTACAAAAAAACAAACAAAACAACATCCTTTAGTATTCAGTTAACTTTGCAACTACTATTGTCTATTCAACTAACTCCCAGCAAAAAACAGCCAACTAACTCTACCTGTCAAATAACTACCTTGACATTATTGTTATGATAACAATACTGTGAAACTAAGATTTAATAGGCCTTCAAATGTTTATCAAACTTCATTATCATTTAAAGATATCTTATTGAAGTGTTTTTATAGATCTATGGCTATCTAAAGACAATGACTCATGTATGGATGACTTTTTCTCATAGTCATGTGAATGTTTGATATGTGGCTTAAACCATATCTTGATAGGGGCAAGGTAAAATTATGAGGATCTGATAACATATATATTAAACTATACTCAACAGGAAAACATTTATTTTATTGATCATAACCTGACTGCGATATTGTGGCGACCTGTAACTGGAGCATTACTGTTGTTTTTGGCCTAATTTGTGAACTTTATTATTTGTTAAATGTTACTGTTATGAATTGCAAAAAAATGAGTGAAAAGATAGAAAAAAACATGAAAGTATAAAGTTACATGGTGGTATCTATTTTACAGGCCTCTAAGTTATACATAGTAGTTGAATTACATGAAGTATTATAATTTATTATATAAGGGTTGTTACATGTATGTTCAAATGCTAAGAGCTGCTTGTTATACAGCAAGTGTTCATTATTTAAATTTCTGTATTATTGGTGACATACACTTGTCAAGTTATTATTGCTTTTAGCAACCAAAGAAATAAAGAAATTTGTCTACAATTTAAGTTAAAACAACAACAAAAAAACAAATTTTAAAGCCATATCCACAAGCACAGCACCTGTTGATTCCAAACCAGTGATTTTGGTGTATGTACGTATTTAAAAAAGAAAGGACAATAAACTGTTCCTGTCCAAAAAAAAAGAAGATTCAAATCGAGTTTCTGTGGAATCTGTTCCCAAACTATACCAAATTATAATTTATATAGGGTAATATATAATCTGTTTCTCTTTGTTTGATGTTGGGGTGCACAGTGTCCTCTTGATTATATTACACATTGTTTTAGGTTATCTTTCACAGTATTAAGTGTTGATATCAATCTCAAATATTTTGTGATAAGGTAGCTTTTATGGGTATATATAACATAGCTGAAATCGAAACTTGAAAATGTTAGACAAAAATCTGTTCCTGGTTGATTCATAAAATGCTAGCTATGTTTACCCAGAGATTATACAAGTGATATGGAATAAAAGCTAATATATTTAAATTAATGAGATTAATTAGTGAACAATTTTTGCAGTGATATTCTTTATTTGGATTGATCGTCAATTTACTGAATAGAAATTACCATTAATGTTATTAATTCAAAGGAGTAAATCAGGAAGTAAGAGTTTGGCAGATTTTCTTCATCTGTTCCAACAAGTGCTCAGTAATTGAAAACCTTAAGACATACATGTAAAACACTTCTAGAAAACTTTAATTGTAACGTATGCTGTATATATTAAAATAAAAATGTCTTCCGATGACGATATGAATTGCCCAATTTACGAGGGTGTTGACAGTGTTGTGCAAGAAGAAGTTAGATACATGATAAAAATTCTTCTGATTGGTGATTCGGCAGTTGGGAAGACGTCAATTATGTTTCGATATTGCGATAAAACCTACACTCCGATGTTTATAAGTACCATAGGTAATTTATCGAAACTGACTACTATTTAATCGTTATATATCCCCACTGCCTGTAACTGGCAAATGATATAAAAATTCTGTTAGATGGTGACCTTAAAGATGACTTCTCTTGTCACATAAGTTTATGTATCATAAGAAGTCTTGCTAAAGGGAAAATATTAATTAAAGTTCAATAGAGGTAATATTAAATAGTTCTTACGTGTGAAGGGTCAAACTTGGCAATATTGTACAAAATATATATAATATCAGTGCTAATAATAAAATACAAATGTTGTTATTGCAGTATTGTTTAAATTGTAATACATGTAGTTACATTACATACATTGTGTAGATTATTTCAGATAATTATATAACTTTTTAAGCTAAACCCTTTTACTTCAATAATAAACTTGTCTTACCTTGAATTTGGACTTGTCCATTGTTAATAATAAGGAATTTGTTATCAATAAATTATATGCTTACATTGAAGCCAAAGACTTCATACTTCACTCATTACCAAGTTCAGTGTTCATGTGTGTATTGGGGATGGGTGGGCAAATGACTTCCCCTGATTTGGCTGTTATATTTAAAAATATGCATGAAAAAAATAATATCACATCAAGAGATTAGATGTTACTTTAAGGAAATCAAAATTTGACTCATGAGCTCCACAGGAAAACTAGTAGAATGCGTAACCCCATCTAAGAGTGGAGTATGTATTAACTCAAGTCAAAATATTGTAACCCTAGTAAAAAAAATCCAGGTTCAACTCCTGCACTAGTTGTTGCTGTTTTCATTTAGAATGTGGCAACCCTAAATAAATATTTGATTTGGTTTAAATGAAAATACTAGCATGTTTAACCAGTTGTAGTCTAAATGAGTTAATTTTTAAAAACAAAAGTACATGTACATGTATCAAATTATTTGTACATGTACCATATTTATTTTTGTCTACTGCCAACCAATATGTATTATATGAGTGATTAAATTATTTTTTTCTCCCTTTCTTTCAGGTATAGATTTCAAGATAAGAACTATAGAATTAGATGGAAAGAAAATAAAATTACAGATATGGTGAGTGCTAAAATATGTTACTATAGAACATTACATGTACTGAAATAATGGACTTGATCTTTGACTTGATCTGGTGAAATTTCAAAAAAAGTAAGCAAGAATGGTACAATAGTTTATCAGGTAAATCTCCGTGGTTTCACTTGGAGAATCATGGCAGTTTAGGAAGTTGGCTTAAGCCTTGATCGCAGAGGAATCACAAAAAAATGTACATTCGGCATGACCTGTATGCTCAAAGCACGAAACATTTGATTTACAGCCATTTTATTGTACATGTAGAATATAATTGTATAAATTTGTATTATAAATTTAATCATCAGATCATTTCAACAAGGGCTTAAGCCTTTAAAGTCTGCTAAAAGTGCTTGAGTAGTTTTATTTGTTGTAGTTGTAAAATTATAGTGACTGGCATTTAAAACTTTTCAGCTTTCATAAATTTTACTTCAAAACGAGATAAAATTTCATTTCTAAAAAAACTTCCTGAATTTGTTTTTATCAAGTGTAAGATATAAATTATGATGGTGTAATAAGGTATTTGAATAGAATAAGGGCATGTGACACTGACAAATATTTGTGTTAAATCTTTGTTATCTTTGTTATCAAAATGACGACATTCTCAATCAGCTGATTGTATGATGATAAATGTTATGTTCCTTAACCACCAGTATAGAGCCAGGTCAGGCTGAATCAATCCTGTATATCCCTGTAGCCTCACCTGGAAATGTTGGCTGACTGGTTTCAAATTTTCATCCCTCAAATTGATAATGGACAGGTCCAAAACTCATAACAGGCCTAGTCCTAAATCATAGTTGAATGGTACATTATGACAAATGAAATAATCAGTCAGAGCTCCAGATTAACTTTCAGAGGTAAATGGGTAATACCAAACCCTTCAAAATTACAGGGTAATTAAAATTTTCAGTCATTTATAAACCAATGTAATTGGGTAATCAAATACCTGAAAGTTAGTCTTCCTATGCAGTTATGCAAGCGAAATAGTCAAAAATACATCATTTTGAACTGCCTTACTTATATTGTACACAGCTGTTATAAAATATATAATAAATGTTTATATATTGATGTTATAACAGGGATACTGCAGGTCAGGAGAGATTCAGAACTATAACAACAGCATACTACAGAGGTGCTATGGTAAATATAAATATATATATATATATAGTCAGAAATTATATTTATATAGTATAATATAGCTATCTGTAAACTATCAAGATCAGCATGTTGGGACCAATTTTGTGTTTATTGAAGAGAACGTGCTTATTTATGGATTTTTACAAAACTTGACCAGTTTCATATGTTTGCTTTTTTTTTTTTTTTTTGTATGGAAAAATTTCAAAAAGTGCATGTACATAAACAAACAATCAAACATTAATTTTGAGCACTTCCCAGGACGAGTTGTTCAGGTTGCTTAGCTCAAATTACTTGCCCCTTACTGCTTGGTGTTTGAATCCAAATAAAGATGTAAGATTCTTTCATTTAAAGAGGCTATGCAGCTATCAAACATGGGGTCAATGGTTGTATTTGAAGCCCTGTTGTAACTGAAAGGCTCTTCATTCAGCCGAAAAATCACCATAATGACTGTTACAATGTAAATAACTTAAACAAAAATACACAAACACTGAAACAACAAGGCTCAGTTTGAGGTTATTGTTTTATGAAGCATTTGTGCAGTTGTACAAAAATGGGCTCTCTGAAATGTTTGAGCACCTCATGTTTTGTCTTTCTTACTGTTTTATTGAATTATTTTTGTGCAAAATATGTATAGTTATGGTCATGTAAATATTTTGCATAAAGCCATTTGTTTGATATGCCACCCATGAAAGAGCTCTGTACCAATACAGATTCATTATTCTTACTATATTCACATGTTTCTTATTTGCAGGGTATAATGTTAGTGTATGATATTACAAACGAAAAGTCATTTGACAATATCAGGAACTGGATTAGAAATATAGAGGAGGTAAGACTTGTACAAGATCATTTGAAACATATAGATATAATAAACTATGATGTTAAACACTTATAATGAATAATTTGAGTATGAAATTATTTATATCTTGACTATTTGAGGAACAGTTGAGCTCTCCTATTTATTAATATCTGGGCATAACATTTTATTAAAGTTTTGTGTGCAGTGTCATTTCTCATTTACCGCAGAAGATGTCCACTAAGTGACTTGAAACTTCAGACAATTGTGTTCCAGATCATAATTGTAGATCTAGGTCCAACACCACAGGCCATTACCCTAAAATTGAATTTGACTGAATTATTCCCCTTTATGAGTTTAATACATTATTGAGACTACTCTGTACTATAAAGCACTCAAGATTAATTGAATCAGCATCTCCAGAAATCATTTGAGGCGCGTCGCGACAAAACCAACGTTATGTGTTTGAGACCAGCATGGATCCAGACCAGCCTGCACATCTGTGCAGTCTGATCAGGATCCATGCTGTTCGCTATCAGTTTCTCTACTTGTAATAGGGTTTGTAAGCGAACAGCATGGATCCTGATCACACTGAGCAGATGCGCAGGCTGGTCTGGATCCATGCTGGTCGCAAACACACTATGTTGGTTTTGTCGCGATGCTGCTCATTTAATGATTAAAGGATATAAGGTGAAAGTGTTTAATTTACCTAAGATAGAATGAAATCCCATATCATATGATATTTAGCTCAACTATTCTAAAGAAAAAATGAGCTATTGCTACAACATGTTGTCATTTCTGAAATCTTTAATATTGGTCATAATTTTTCAATGGATTGCCTTCATACTTAGACACAATAGAACCTTTAAGTTGACCAGATTGAAATTGATCTTTACTCATAAATCACCTTGACCTTACAGGTAAAATATTTGACATTTTCTTGAATTTGCTGTAATTGGCTATAATTTTGTTATTTATGAATGGATTGTATTCATATTTGGATACATTAATCCTTAGGACAAGACATTTATGAAGATCAAATGGATTATGACCTTCTCTCATCAATGACCTTGACCTTGAATGTCAAATTATTGAACTTTGCTTGTTTTTCTTTAATTGGCCATAAAAATGGATGGTCTTCATGACTATTCAGACATGGACACAACAAACCTTGACACTAAAGGTCAAGTTAGTGACAAGGCCATATCTTTATAATTTATTTATATATTTGATGTATAATTGGACAAAAGAACACTTATAACACTACTGACATGTAAAGTAATTCAAATATGATCTTGACCTTTATATGACCTTAACTGTCAGTCAAATATTGTATTTAGCTAAGATAATCATAACTTGGTTATTTATTTACGGGTTTGATTTTATACTTTGACAAAAGAACTCTTATGACAGAACTGATGGGAAATTGTATACATGTAATAAATCAAATTTGTCTGGCAGTCTTTTTTGAAATTTATTTTATAGAATGCTCCAAATCAGGTTTGATTTTCATTATTTTCAGCTATGTACTCTTTTAAAGCAGATGATTAAAAAATATCAAAATTTTGCTGAATTTCTAATGTCAAATGTAATATTGGTTGGCTGGTTGTTTTTTTTGTGTGTGTGTGTTTTTTCATGCAAATTTAATGTCAAACTAATATAAGCCCACCTTGGTGGCACTCTTGTGTTTTTTGATTGTTTAACTTTGGTTTAAGTAGCTTTATTTTTGTTGCCAACATTTGAAGAACACAGTCATAGAATGCCATTAGCCAGCAGCCTAAGAAACATAATTATATATTTTTACTTCTTCAGAAAGGGCTAACATGAATTTTATAATGTTTAAACAATGGTTTTAGAGCTTGTTAGTTGAAAGAAGTTATAAATGTGAAATAATTTGGCAAAAAACAACAGATGAAAAAGATGGTTCAGGTAATTGGCCAATAAGTAACATTTTGGATATTATAAAAGTACACCAATATTAAAAAGCTTTTGAGCCATTATTAAAAAGCTTTTGAGAAATAAAATTAGAAATATTTCTGGAGCTTTAATGGGACTTTAAGTACTACAGTATTATTTTAAACATTGAATGTTAATTGTTTTATTACAGCATGCATCAAGGGACGTAGAGAAGATGATACTAGGTAATAAATGTGATATGAACGACAAACGACAAGTCAGTAAAGAGAAAGGTGAACAGGTCAGTGCTGTCACAAACTTTATATATAGTCTTGCTTACAAACATACATGAAGAAATTTCCAAACGAGAAAAAGTACAATTCCAGTGTCTGAGATTGTAAACAAATTTTCTCAGCTCAAATTCAGAATCTCAGAAATTTGATTGGTCAGGAACCAGCACAGATTGTACACTGACCAATGAAAATCTGGAGATTTGAGAAGCTTTGAAAAAAAGTTTTTTAACCTCAAGGCCGGGTTTTAACCTTACTGCTATTCTATTTATGCTGGCCCATATGGTTCATTCCAGTGGCGAGAGTAAACAAATCAAATACACCCACAGCCATTTTAGACAAGAGAAACAAAAAAAACCTTTATAAAATCATCATTGATATTAGACATGTTGTTTTGGTTTCATAGAATAGATAGCTTTAAAACAGCAAGCCTACAGATTCAAGCTAATTTTCATGAAAATTTGGAAATATATTTAAAAGTATATTATGATGCCACTATCAGAGGGTAATTTACACAACATTTATGGCACTTTCAAACTGCTTAAATTACCAAAGTTATAAAAATATGTGATAATAGTCCTTTCTGCGTTAGTAACGCAATAGATATAAAGTTATGAATACTAAAATATCAGTCATTTATCATACATAACATGTGAATGATTTCTTGAATCTCGAATCTTTTTACTTTTCCAAAATTCTTAGTACATTTTTCTCAAATTTGATTTTCTTGGAGCATGTAGCTTTAATGTTCCTTTATCAATATGAATATTTAAATTTCTGGTTTTATTTCAGCTTGCTATTGAACATGGAATAAAATTTATGGAAACAAGTGCTAAAGCCAGTATAAATGTTGAAGAGGCCTTTTTCACCTTAGCTAGAGATATAAAGGCAAAAATGGACAGGAAATTGGTATGTGACTATAGTTTAATCATATTTTATTGCTAATATATACATGTAAATATACAGAGAAACAAATTGGTTTCAAAATAACAAATAGCAAAAGGTTTGGGCCCAAGTTCTTACATCATTAGCGATTGGCCCTCCCCTTAGGTGTATGTGACTATATAGGCAACTGGTTATTGATGGCAGTTTTCAAAGGTGCCTTAATATTTTCAAAGGTGCGTTAATATAAAACAGACCTTATTTGATGTTGACTGTTACAGAACAACTATTTTAGTGGTTTTAAATTGGGTGTTGATTGAGTTACATGGCTCAAGACTAAATCATATGAAGAGCTAAATTTTAGCTTAAAGTTGAAAAAACAAATTTAAAATACAGCTTCATTATTAGCTATTGTGGTATGCTGTATTTGATCAGCTTGTTTATAGCAATTATGTTGCCAGTTATTTTCTTTGATAATAATATTATATGCCCAGCCTTCCAAAATTTCCACAAATTTGTACATGCCTTTTGCCTCTAATTTTTATTTCTAACAAAATTAATCCTTAAATGTGATGGAGTGACATAACCTACAACTAATGTGGCTTTGATATGTATGTTAGATATAGCTGTATCCAACATACAACAGCATAGCTTGTTTAGAACTTGAGCCAATTGGCTAATACCATGAAATTATATGATATTTGTTTGTATACTTGCAAATATTTGCTAATGCATACTTGTATGATAATAACCTAGTTGATAAATGTTTGGATATACCCTGCTATAAACGTCCTGATTGTGTAGTGTTACCTGACTGATTAGATTTCATGGCTCACTTTCTGGATATTCAATGAAATAACTGCATGCAAAATAAAAACAATTGTTTGTATAAATGTAATTCTTGGCCTTCTTTTGCTTTTGCTTAATATTTTGCTCTGGGGAAAAAATAACTGTAAAAATAAAACCTACCCATGCAAACAATTTTTGTTAAATTATAAGCCATTGTAAAGTTGTAAATATTGTCTTGCTTTGTATTACAGGATGCATCATCAGCACCGAAAGGTGGAGGGGGTCACAAATTGACTGCAAATCAAAGCCAGCCCAAAAAAGCATGGTGGAAATGTACTATTCTCTGATTGGACAGTTCAAATCTCAAATATAAATCTGATTGGACAGATGTTTTAAAAGATTTATTTTTATTGGTCAATTTGAAATATTTATGGATGGAAATGTTCTGAGTGCATATGAAAATGTGACCTAAATTTCAAAACCAGCAGAAAAAAAATAAACCCATTTCTTCGCATGAATGGGATCGCCAGGTCACATGTGAAATAAAAGACTATTTCTAATTGGCTGATATATGTAGTTACTCAAATGCACCAAGCATTTTGATTGGCATTTGAAATAACTGCAGCAATACGCTTTGTGTATAGTTTATGATTTGTTCATGTATATAGTATATAGAACTATTTAATGACATAGTAAATTTGTGTTTAAATGTCCATTATATAATTTTTATACTTATAAATGAAGACTGATAAGGTAAGCATGAAGGTTAAAAGGCAGATGTCTTTAATCTACATGTGCATTATTTCCAATATCTTTTATAACTATTGCTCATCCAATAGCATAGACTAACTTAGCCAAGGGTAAGATTATATTTGTTTTTTATTGTTTTATTGTTTGCTTCCTCGAGTTTTAAATATCAGTTCTTTTATTTTAAAATTAGATTAAGTAAACCTTTTAAATTCTAATACATTTTTGCAAATTTTGGTAAATGCCTTTCTGTTCTGAATCAGGAGGCATTCGTTTCTTAGATATTTTCTTGTTGGAAAAGAAATTAGTGAGAATTGATAAAACCTAAGGTTGGGGACCAGATTGAAAACCTCAGCATCCCATTGGTTGATTCTGGGCACAAATTCAAAATTGAACAATGGCATAATTCCATTTCAATCCTGGTTCCCCTCTCTAATTATAACATGTTGGTCCTGCATATTGGCTGTTTTATTATGCTTTTAGGCAAATTTTATTTATGGCCACAAGCATTTGTTACTAATTTACATTCTTACAGCTTTTGTACATATTTTGGGGAATTTTCTTGGAATTTGAAGCTTATGTTAAATGTTATATATAAAAGTAAGAATGGCATACTGAAATTTGTAAATTTTTCAATCAGTTTTTTCTATAGTTTTCGATAAAAAGACGCACTCCCCACTCTATATTTGAAATTTAAGACTCAAAAATGTGTCTTGTAATAGGAAATGGACAATAGTGGCAATAAAAAGCTGTATATAAAGTCCATACAAACTTTGATTTGCCAGGATATTTAAGGTACGTTTCAGGAAACAGTGCAGAAATCTCTTAACTTTTGTATTTATGGTAATTTGATTCAAAATTTATCCTTGTGCTTTACTGTATTTTATTATTATCTGATTAAAAAAAAATAAGTAACAACATTATTGTTTGAAGTATGCCTTGATGTAGTAATACTTTTCTGTCAAAAGTAAGCAAGAACTGTTCATTTTCTCAAATTTTGAAATTTCAGATCTATTCAGTTGATTATAAGCCCTCAAAATTTGAATTTCTGGACTGGGTTTCAATATTGTTTGATATAATGGCATAGTTCAAGTATAAAATATTTGAGCTTCATCATTGCAGGTATAATGTTTCCACACTTTGATTTAATGAAAAGTTATTATTTTTTATAATTAAGTGTTAGAACTTAAAACTATGTTGATTTAAATATCACTCACAAACTTGAGTTTTTTTTTGTGTAAAGATATTTAATAAAATATTCAGGAATGCATTAATGTTTCTTTAATTTAACATAATTGTAACATTTTACATAGGTGTATCATCTTAAAGTAGATTGATCTACAATGGGCACATTTTCCATAAGTATTTCAAATATTGATAAAAACCATAGAAATGTATCATTTGAAATATTGCTTGAAAAAAAAGCAAACTTTTAATAAAGTTCTTAGTGATTTAGCATGAATATTAATTTATATGATGAATAATAATATTTTGTTCTAAAACATTTTATTATCTGCTATACAAATATGTGTAATATCGGATCATGTATCTCATACTTGCCAACAACAACAACATCCATATAAAATTCTTTCGTGGTTTGTTGTTATATCTGAAACTAAATACTATGAAAGTAAAAATTTATTTTATTATGAACCTGCCATTACAGACCAATTCTCTTCAATCTGTACCTAAACTTTGATATACTTGCCGTGATTTCATTATGAAGCAGTCCTTTGATATTCTAAGCTGTTTAATTAAAAATGTACATAACTTAAATTTGATATTTGTAAATATTAAAAATTGCTATACAGTCTCTTTTTTAATATAAAATAAACAAGTTTTGTCTTCACAAAAAGTAGATGTATAATATTTTAAATTTTACAGAAAATGTGAATTAACACAATTTGAATATATAGTGTCATTTAAAAAAACAAGCACTTTTTTTTTAAACAAAACACCAACTTAACTTGACCTGTAATAGGGAATGCAGCCCTCCATACATAGTTTGTACGTTCTTTTATAAAATAAGACATATTCAGTAAGAATTTTTATTGATTTCAGTTAATTTCGGCAATAAAAATATTTTACTTAAAAATGAGCCCAGTATATCTTTGAACAGTAAAAAGTTAAAATATGAGCAGTCATCATGAATCAGTAAAGAGGATAATGCCTGCACACACTATACTGATGGTATATACAAGTCTATATGAATGTGTGAAGTGTGTAAGGCTGGCATTTCACTAATCTGATTTGATTTTAATCTCAAGCCATTTAGTGTTAATTGTTTAATTAATAAGTTATTACAAAATGAATATGACATTAAGTGTTAATTGTTTAATTAACTAATTGATTATTACAAAATGTATTTCATATTTAGATAATCAGTTCAGTACCCAGTTGTATATTTGATGTTTTCATACTCAAAAATGCAGATTTGTTGCAATGAATGTTATTCCATTTTACATGCTGTCTGAATAATAAGTGATATTTTGTAAAATTCTGTTTAAGGAAAGCAGTGGTCCAGTGGTAAAACATCATCATGTAATTTACAGAAATCTGAATATCTTTGTCAATATAAATAAGGTTAAAGTATTTGAAAGAGTTTATAAAGCTATAATTGACAAAATAATGACATGAATGGTGAAAGGGCAGATGGACCCTTATTAAGCTTAGAATACATAACAGTGCCTATACTGAGATTCTCACTCATGCTTGAAATAATGCATGGAGGTGCACCTGAGGTCTTCCTCCAACAGTAAAGCTAGAAAGTCGCCATATGATATCTTCTATGTTAGTGTGGCGTAAAAAACCCAAACCCAACCCTGTAAAGAAACCACCTTTGTTAGACAGTCATTGTTTTCTGTTTTCTTTCCTTTAGTTTCTTATCATGGCAGGATGTTTAATATGTTCAAAGTTGTCATATTATTTAACATAAAGTTTAATCTCTAATAGATCTAAATAATATTTTTTTGCATAATATATCTTCTAAGAAGAAAGTTAACAGTAAGGACTGTGGGTGGTTCTACCCTGATATTTTTTCCTTCCTCTGGTGTAACAAATGTTTAATCCTATCAAGTTATGTCACTTTCATGTCACAGTAAAAAAAAAATTTTTTTATAAAGTCCAATAATTTATTTAAAGTTTCTGACAAGGCGTGCTAGTAAAACTGTGGCTGGGCCAATCTTTATATATTATATATATATTTCTTTTTGTTTATATATCATGCTTTTCATTTGTAAACATACTTAGTAGTTGATGTTTTTGTTTGTTACACTAAAACATAAAATATGCAATTTTGTTAATGTGTTTTATGTCAAGTTTACAACAATATTCTGTTGATGTATCATTATATGTATATGAACTAGTAAATGAAAGGGGTATCCAACTCATATTTTACTTGTATTGTTTGTATTTTATTCATTTGGTCAAAGTTTTGGTCATTTTCTGCTCCACACTGCAGGCATGATTGAAAGTAAAATACTGTAGAATCAGAAATTTTTCGCAACAGTTTCATTTTTTGACAGCTAATTTTGCCATTTTGTTAAATTGTTAAGAAAATAATTTCACAAATGGATGTCCTGATGTAAAGTTTTAATAAAAAGAATTAACTAATGAGCCGTGTCACGACAAAACCAACATAGTGTGTTTGCGACCAGTATGGATCCAGACCAGCCTGGGCATCCGCGCAGTCTTATCAGGATCCATGCTGTTCACTTACAAACCCTATAACAAGTAGTGAAACTGATAGCGAACAGCATGGATCCAGATCAGACTGCACGGATGCGCAGGCTGGTCTGGATCCATGCTGGGCGCAAACCCATTATGTTGGTTTTGTCATGACACGACTTATATATCTGTGGTTAGGTTGAATGTGGCCTTCAGCTTTTATTTTGTTTCGAAATAAGTATTTAACTATTTTTATCTTGGAAAAGTGCATTATATCACTGTTAAGCCTTCTTCAAAACAGTGTTAGGCATGAGAGCTATTTATAGCGCGTCACTGATGGTCGTTTCTAAAAATAGAAGATCAGGAAACTATTCGTTTGCTTTAGTAATTTTATATAGAGAGCAGACCGGTAGATTAGAGGTATCCAGGGGTTTCCTTGTTGTTTATGTATCTAATTGACGGCAGATTATATTTTCCACCTCAATTCTTTTGATTTGACAATTATATGAAAGGATTTATCGAAATATAACATATAAATTTAAGCTTTAGAAAACTTGAAGGCAGCCTCGCAGCTAAGGGATTGTAGGTTCAAGACTTGTAAATTGTTCCCTCAAATGTCACCAGTAACATTTAAGTCAAGGAAACAGACTCACGAATGATTGTTATAACATAAGAGGTATCGTAACTAGCTAACCCTTTATGAATTATGTGAACGAAAATTCTGGTACTAAAATTGTGGTTTTATATTTGTGTCTGTCATAAACAAGTTTCTTATGATTATTTTAACTATTAAACTGCTAAAATTTATAAATGATTAACTTGCTTGGCTTTGAATGGAAACTGTTGTACATAGATATTTTAAATTTAAAATGTTCTTCGATTATAAATTGTTAACATTTAGCAGTGACAATGACATACAGTCTGGTCAGGCCACATACATGTACTAAATATACAGTCTGATTTAACACTAGTAGATAGCAAACAAAACAAATTAAAACATATTTTCATGAAATCTATAATAAATCATTTCTATAAAAGCTTGCATTGAATTCATCAATTTTTTAATAAGCTTAATCACAATATCAACTTTCTTCAACATTTTATTTAATAGATAAAACAAGAATTTTCCCAAAATGTAACAATATTTATTTTTGTTGTTTCGATATTTTATACTTCAAGTCTTTTGAAACGCAACAAATGTGTAAAAATTCATATCATAAATTTTCAATCAGGGTTTTGTTAATAAAGAATATTAAAAAAAGTTTCAGTTCATTATTTTAATTTATTTGAAACTACAAGTTATAAGTATGGTTAAAGGAACTCCACTGAGGTCCAAAAGCCTAAAAACATAAATTTTTTAATTTCTTACATAGATCAAGAATGGCATTGAAAACAAAAAGATGAATGTAATTTAGAAATAAACTCAAAAATAAATGATACATTGTATTTTTTTGCTACTCTTAGCCCAATATGAGTAACAAGGGTTGCAACTCTTTCAATTTCTCAATTTTATTTAAAGTATATTTTTTTGGAATTTTGAATTTTTCTGATTATCTCAATTCAAGTATATTTTTTGGAATTTTAATTTTTTTTTGGCAAGCTTTGACAGTGTTAAAATGTATTTTTGTAGAAGTGATGAATTATGGTTTGAAGGGAGTACAGTCATCTATTTGATGTGACTGTACTTATAAAGTATAACAATATATGTTAAAAAATCTTTTATTTGCATCATCAGTATCATGTACCTTTATATAACTATCTGCTTGTAAAGAAGCAAAAATCAGTCAATAAAAAATGAAATAAATTCTACCACTGTATTGATATTTTTATGTTCACCTATTGGTCAGGTGTATGTTTGTGTATTGTCTAGTAGAATTCTTGCATATAATTCCTGAGATGGCTTCCTTCCTCCCTCCCTCCATTCCTTCCTTCCTTTTCCTTCCTCCCTCCCTCCCTGCCACCCTCTTTTCCTTCCTCCCTCCCTCCCTGCCACCCTCCTTTTGTTCCTTCCTTCCTTCTTTCTCATTTCCTTCCTTCCTTCCATGGTTGATCAAATTTTAATGAAAAATGACATGCATGTATAAAAATGTAAGAAATAGGCCTTGCCAAATACCATCAAAATCTACTTCTGGAGTTTTATTTATGGCCTTTTGTTACGTAAAAAGGACTATTTCTTTTGCAACTAATGCGTTAGATTGTTATATGAGTAAAAAATCAACAATAACTAGTCTTATAACCAAACAGTTCGCTATTGGGTTTAGGGCCCTTTGTTGCTTTTAGATATGAATGTGGCAGATTTGAGTAGACCTTTAATGTGCATTATGATACAGACTTGATTCTCATTTAATGCTTTAAACACTACCAGTCAAATTTGTTTATATAGATATAACGTTTTGTAGCTTAGCCATAGACAGATCTCCAAACTGATTGGTTAGTTTTGAACGCAAGGTACATCACAACGTCGGATACCCACGATTGATAAACATGTCACATAACATGCTGATAAATGTTAATGGTTCGGCCGTGGGTATCCGACGATGGGTACATCATAAATACCATCATAATCTACAGTTTTGGTGTCGAGTTATCACCCTTTGATGATTTTAAAATGGACAGTTTGTTTACACCAAAGCTATATTTTATATTAAGGTCCTATTTTCAACTGTTGTCGCTATTTTTGTCCTGAAGAATAAAAATGATATTTTTGTTACAATATCTTCCTTCAAGAATGCGTCGCGCATCTCATAGTTTGTGTTCTTTTTTACCTCAGATTCAAAGTTTAATTTTTTTATATGTAAAGCAGCAATATCTTTGCCCCTAAAACTTTTGAATACAAAACTGCATGAAAAGATGGTCGAACATTACGATTTTAGTTAAAGGTGGGCATTCTAGTGCATGTATTAATGTATCGTTTAAGATGTTATATCGTAATCTGGACAAGACTCCATTAAATTGTGACCCTTTGAGTGGAAAAACACTCCATATTGCATAAGGGGCTAATATCTGGCTGGGACAAAGTGGAGAACCACCAATATTTTGTGTGCTGAAAGATGTAACACTTTCTATTTTTTATCCTAATGACTTAATAGTACCATGTCTTTTATTTACATTTTCCTTAGAATCTTCCAATTCTATTCCACATTGTAGGTAGGAAAACTAAGCACCATATTAAAGGCACACTATAGAAAGGTCAAATATGTGGTAATAATGTTTTGATAATGGAATTGGAGCATGTTCAGTTAAACAACTGGCGAAAGTGGCACTGATCATGCAGTAATGTGCCTTAAAGGTGGGGAAATGTAAAACAAGTACCGGTACTATAGTAGTATTTTGACTTCCATACAAAATACTTAATCACTATAATTATACCAATTGCCAAAGAGAAAAAAGAAGCAAACGATAGTTAATAAAATTTATATATATGGCCAATGAATAACTCTTTGGAAACTAGATACCAATAATAAATGGTCTTTGAAAAATAAAAATGATAGTATTTCGGTGGCTCAAATGGCTTACATTTAAACATTCGTAAGCAGCGCGACACTTTCACTTGATATCACTGCACGGAAACTGTTTTCACATCTAGAATACAACTAGAAAACTGCTGTTGATCTATTCTTAGTGCATAATATAATATATATATATGTGGTAATGTTAAAGGCCTATCAAACCTCCGAAATATCATTTGTATTGGCCTTAAAGTCTATACATTTACTTAAATCGAAGTGTTTGGGTTTTGAGATGTGATGTAAAATTATTTTCCTTATACATGTGTAAGTTTCAAGACCAGTAAATACCATCAGTTGTAACTAAGATGAAGTTCAATTGTTACTTCGACGTCAAGATCAGAAAGGTACTTTTTCTGCAAATAAGGGAAATTATTAATAATAAAATGCGAAATTAAAAGGATTAATAAAATACCCAAGATTTTTTTTCATTTTTTATTACAAACAAAAAAACACGCTACATTTGTATTCTGAATACTAAACTTTTTTTATTGTGTCAGACACAAGAATTTTACCAGTTCTTTTTTTTTCTTTTAATTTATCTATTATTATCATAATTATTATTATTGTTATTATTATTTTGGTAAACAATCTTTTCAAAAGTCCAAAGTCTTTGTTTTGAATATGTTATGTTTTTGTTGTTTTAATTTAACAAATGACATTGTTAACAATTTTCTCTTTTGCAAACTGAACATATATACGTGTACATGTATAACAGTATCTTTACAGGATTCTTGTGTTTGCACATATAAAATAAAATCAAATTCTTAGTAAAATTATAAAATTGTTGTACAGTATGACAGTGAAGGTATAGGTAGTACTGTGGCTTTAACAATAACTATTGTGACTTTATCAATGTGGAATAAATAAATTGAATTGAATTATCTTACAAAGCCGAACTATATTTAGTTTTTGAAATTATTTTTGTTTAATAGAATTGCAGTACATGTAAATGAATTTACTTTGTTTAATCGACTAAATTTTAATTAGTCATGTAAATCGACTATTTATAAAATAATTTCAAACACTAAATTGGTTAGTGTTCATTAGTAAGCATTTACTGGTCAACAAATTAATTTAGTAAAATCTTAATATACGCTAACCTATACATAAGAATAGTATGATAAAAAAAAATGAGAAAATTTTCAGCAGAAATACAATACATAATATATAAAATTTACATTACAACGAAAACCTTATTTAAAGTGACATTAAGCACATCCAAGTGAACAGTGAACAGGTAAAAAACAAAATAACTTGACATTTTGCCATGCTTGTGTTCTAATTCCTATTCTATTTTCAAAAATAATCAATAACAGAACTTTCAAAATTTCACCATTTTTTGTTTAATGTTGAATACTGCTTTAGACGGTGCTAAGGGGCATGGACGGTTACTTGCACTTTCCGTTACCGTCCATGAACAGACTCAATCAAAACCGAGCCTGCAGTATTTTCAAATTTGCTATGTTGGACATTTCTTTGGGGATTCTGTTTTTCTATAAATAGCGTTCAGAATGAGTGGGGCATTCTATTTACAAAATATTGTATAAAGAAAACATTTTCACAATCAATTATTGGGCAGTCGCCATTAATAACAGTCAAGCCTATCGGCTCGGGTTATATTTCCAAACAACCGTTTATATAAGGCCATATAACATGTCAAAATGTCAAACATATTTAAAAGTAATAATATATAAACCTCACGATTATCCAATGAAAACGATGTTACAAGATTATAATATTCGTAACATATCCATGTATGTAACAAACAAAATGAAAGTTATATTTTCACGGATGTACTGTTGATTTGATAAACATAAACCAAATAAAGAAGATATTTACTTATAGCTATTCGCTTAATTATTATCTACACTTCTGGGCAACAAATGATTCAAATTTAGTGTTTTATTGTCAGAAATAAACCATTTTTTTAGCGATACCATCGTTAGATCATAATATGTATTTTTTCTAATAACATATTGAGTAAGTTAACAATATAAATAATTAATAAATAGATTCATGAATAATAAAATGATGAAAGCCTAATTGCACATTGAGTTAAGTCAGTTTTGGAGAACTATGACTGGTATCTCCGCATTTAAGTGAATGTGATAAATAGAATAGATTTGAGCCGCGCCATGACAAAACCAACATAATGGGTTTACGACCAGCATGGATCCAGACCAGCCTACGCATCCGGGCAGTTTGATCAGGATCCATGCTGTTCGCTTACCAACCCTATTACAAGTAGAGAAATTGATGTCGTGACGCGGCTCATTTGATTAATTTGTTTAGATTCCTTGTCAGAATTATCGAACTAGCTTATCATAAAGCGTATGAAGCGACTTATTTTCAAAAGAATATTACACAATTCACATTCCGTATTCTTTATATATTACGACAGCAAAATAACAAAATGATTAAGTTTATATTTATTAAAATCATCTATTAAGAAAGTGGATTATCTATTTGAAAAAAAACATTGCCGAGTATAAAAAAGGTAATAATTTATAAGCTTGCAAAAGGCACTTACACTCCACAAAACCAAAATGTAGTAAAATCTAACTCAAATCCACACACAAAAAACTGTCAAAATGCGATCAAATCAAACACCGTTTGTTTTATAGCAGAGATGAAATGGTGATAAAATTGTTAAATTATGCATATAAAGGCCCAAATATAAAGCCTTATATTGTGAATATATAGATCTGTACACCTTCTCTAATGCTGTCGACAATCCATGTCTTTGTTGTTGTTTGTTTGTTTTTGTGTGTGTATGTTTTTTTCTTAAGTTCAATCATCAGGAGATGTACAGCTGTAGACAGTAAGCATTAAGCGTTTCTTCTTTCACAGAGAAATGCCATTTTAGACCAGCAATCCTCTGATCCCCAAACATAGCTAGAGGAGTTGGCATGAGTCACGGCCACGCAATCATTCGCTGGATTTGGTACATCGCCAGGAAAGTTGATGGTTATTCCAGTCTTGTCCGGCCAAACAAATTTGTCTGACTGTACTTTATTCAACCCAATCCAAATCTTTGGTACCTGCTCATGAAAGGTGTCAAGCAACAGCTTTAAAGTTGCTTCGTTCTCATCATCATCCATAATTTTAACCAAATCACCATGTCCTCTTTGACAGATTTCTCTGCTTTCATTCCACGAAGAACCGCCTGTATGTAACAACATGAGGCATCTTTTAGCAAGTTTCCTTCCGAGCCTACAATTTCCCTTTTCGAAAAATCTCCATGACGGATTTCCTTGTATGTAACTTTTATAATAGTCAAGCGGTTTATTGTTGATCTCA